ACAGGGCAAATAGCCCACACTTACGCCAGAGCGGCAAGGACAGCAGAGGTGGAAGAGGAGCATTGAAGACAGGCAGAGGGGTTGCGACTCCCAAGCCAGAACCCCCTCCCTCCAAAAAAAGCCTCCAGATCCCTCAGAACAAAACAGGCAGACTGCACACGAAGGGGGGCTGTGGAAGTTGGATAAGTCAATTGAGCCTCATTTGTGGGCTGATGGAAATGCACTGAGGATGACTGGCAGATGCTACTCAGGAGGAATGGACAGGAGTGAATGGACAGAGTCTCCCTGCTCAGGAGTGGAGCAGGGAGACCAGGGAGAGCCAGAGCCCGGTCGAAGGGCTTTCCATCAATCCCAGGAAGAGCATCTTGAGAAGCCATGTTGAGGATGGCAGTGATGGAGAGAAGGGCTGCTCAACAGAGAGGGAGCACGCTGCATCTGAGGGGCGATGGGTAAAAAAGGATGGGGGCACTGAGAATAACGAGTCGGTAGCCCCAACGAGTTGATCAGGAGAGACTTCCGGAGGTGGGATGCTGGAGAGATGCCTCAGTGGTCATGAGCACTTGCTGCTTTCGAAGAGGACCCAGGTTCAATTCCCAGCTCGCACACTGTGGCTCACAATCTTCTGTAACTCCGGTTCCGGGAGATTCCCACACCCTCTCCTGGCTTGTGTGGGTACCAGGCACGCGGCTGGTGCACTGCCAGCATCCAGGCACTCACTCGTATGCATAAAATAATAACTGTTAAGAGTGCCAGGGCTGGGATATCACTCAGTCGGTGGAGTGCTGGCCTAGGATGCATGGGGCCCCGGCCCAATCCTGAGATGGCGCAGACTGGGCGTGTTACTGCAGCCTGTAATGCCAGCTAACCGGGAAGATGGGGGGGGGGGGATATTCAGGAGCTCAAGTTCATTTTGAGTTAGAAGCCCACATGGGTCACTATTTCACATTCTCTTTCTCTTTTCTGTCTCTCACACACACAATAAATAAAAATGAAGACTCTCCTACCATATTTTAGATGCCTAGAGCACCTAGGGAGAGCCCTGCTAGTGTTGAGGATCAGACAACCAGAGGGCCTCCTGCATGTAAAGCGACATTATACCCACTGAGCTGCATCCCTAGCCTGCGTGTCCTTAACCTTTCAAAAATGCCCTCTAAATTAGTTGTGGCTTATTTAGCGGGCTTTTATTTTCAAGATCTTTTTGCTGAAACAGCTTGGTGAATCTCCCACCTCCACCCCAAACTCCCAAAACATCTTTTCTCTGCTCTACCTCACCCAACCTTGTCCTTTTCCTTGTTTGGAGAAACAGTCTTGCCTCCTCCAGGAAGCCTTCCTGAATGGTGGCTGTTAATGCTAATTTGCCTAAGGCTTGACCCCTGCATCTCTTGAGATGAAGGCAGCCATGGATGAAGTCAAGAGGCATCTCAGTAGCCGGGTGGTGATGGTGGCACACCTTGAATCTCCGCACTCAGGAGGCAGAGACAGGTGGAGCTCTGTGAGTTCGAGACCAGTCAAGCCTACAGAGCAAGTTCCAGTACAACCAAAGAGAAACACTGTCTTGAAAAACCAAAAATGAAAAAAGAAAGTCACATCTCAACAGACCAGATCTGAGAGGCCAGTGTGGCTGTGGAACCAAGGGCGAAGGCAAAGCAGAACCTGCAGGACCTCCAAGTCCGCCAAGAGCGTGAGGGGAAAACAGACACTGGTAGCAAGGGACTCTAGCACCTGGGATCTTGCAGAGCTGTCTCTGGTCTTGCTACTGAAGGTGTGAATTGGATGCATCCGGGTGGGGACAGAAAGACACACTGGGAGGGCATTATAAAGTCCACAGTCTACTCTTGCATCCTTTTGTGGGAGCATGGTGCCATGCCACCTGTGGCCCTGCGCTGGCCCGTTCCCTCGATGTTTGCTCTGCTTCATCTCCTTCGTAAACAGTAAGGCCCTTTGATGACGACTCGGTTGATTTTCCCATGCTATGACTTACACACCATAAGATACTTAGGTTCTGATACTGAGGTCTTTCCAGGGTGTCTCTTTAAAACACCCGGGCTGGGGCGACGGCTCAGGAGAAAAGGCGCTTGCCACCAAGCCTGAGGACCTAAGTTCAGTCCCACGGACGGTTCCTGGCGAAAAGCCATCCAGCCCTCACAGGATGTCCTCCATAACAGATGCGGCTTGTGTGTGTGCTCACACACACAATCTGAATGAATGAATAAGTAAATGTGAAATTATCTGCGACATTTTCTTTAATTAATATATTTTAAAATTTCATATGGATTATCATTTTGCCTGCATTTACGTCTGTGTGAGGGTGTTGGATCCCCTGGAACTGGAGTTGCAGTTGTGAGCTGCTGTGGGAGTTCTGGGAATTGAACTCAGGTCCTCTGGCAAAGCACCCAATGCTCTTAACCACTGAGCCATCTCGCCAGCCCCAGCTGTGACATTTTCAAGAGTAAAATGTTACCACTCTAACTCCTGTTATAAACAGCTTAGAATAACGAAAAACTCATTGCTTAATTCTGGGATTAGAACATTTGTTTTATAAAGTTTTCTTTACCTTTAAAAAATACATTTCAGTTCACTATGTACAGGTAGAAAAAACATTAAATTTAAAAAACACTGGGCATGGTGGCACATGCCTTTGATCCCAGCACATGGGAGGCAGAGGCTGGCGGATCTCTGAGTTCAAGGCCAACCTGGTCTACTTAGTGAGTTCTAGGGCATCTAGGGCTACACAGAGAAACCCTATCTTGAAAGTAAATTAAAAAAACAAAACATGCTGAAGTAACCTTCCCTAACATCATTGGACCGAGAGTGGACACTGCCATGCCTTTTAATTTTTGTTTGTTTCTCAACATTTGGGTGGAGGATTATATACATTTGCCCTTAGGCAAAAGGTGAGACGCAGTGGAGGTCTGTCCTGTTCTGTCTTTAGGAGCTGTGGGTGTGAAATCCTCTACAGAGGATCCCCAGTCTTTCCACAGGACCCCCACACTTTACTGGGTTAAAAGCTGAAGGCTTTAGCAAGCTTGCCTGCCTGCCTGCCTTTCTCTCCCCAACCTTTCTCTTCATTTATTATCTGTATGTATGTATTCAGGGGAGGTGCCTGTCCCATGGCATGTGTCTAGAGATCAGAGGACAACCTGTGGGAGTCCACTCTCTCTGTGGATCTTAAGGACTGGATTTGGATTATTGGCTTGGCAGAAAGTACTCTTCTCCACTGAGCCATCTTGCCAGCCCCCTGCCACAGATTTCTGAACCCAGTCTCTTTACAGGCTCCATCTTTTGGTGGAGGACCACAACACATGGAAGGAAGCCAACCACTTATTTTGTAAGGACAATGCCCAGACGGCACCAGCTCCTCCACTCTCACTGCCCAGCAGTTTCACCCGAGGGTGACCGGGACAGATGGAAACTCTGCAGTCACCCCAGGCAGCAGGCGCTCGCTCCTCAAATGTTTCTAGTTAAGAAACTGGTGCAAGGTGACATATTCAAATTCCTAGGAAGCCTTCTGTGCTTCATCATGGTTGGACACAGCCTAGGAGGCTCAGTCTGGGGCTGCAAGAAGGCCAGGGGCAAACAGTGAGAGAACTGCCACAGCTCATTAGACCTGCACAAAAACTTTTCCAGAACTTTCTAGCTTTCCCCAAAACTTTCTAGTTTTCCTTGGCATAGAGAGCAAGCTGATATCAGTACAGAAGAAGTTCAGCAAAGCTACTGTGTTCCACATACCTCTCGGAAGCTCAGACTACAGAGAGCTGGGAGGGACATGCTAGGCCTGAGCAGGCTCTGGGGCTCAGGACCCTCAAGGGGGCTAGACGTCATGGGCGTTGCTGTAATCCTGCCTGCGTGCTAGATTTATTCCTGCCTCGAGTTATCCAAAGGCCTCAGAGGCCTTCCAGCCAGTGGCCAACAGGGTATAGCAGCATTTGGGAGCAGATTGCTATCTGCAGAAGCAAAACCACACAGCCACCCTTCTGGTTGTGGGATAGTATGTGGGTGCCAGCAACTGAACCCGGGTCCTCTGCAAGAACAATAGGTGCTCTTAACCACCAGGCCATCTCTCCAGCCCCGACATTTTCTGTTTTGTTTAGAGATGGAGTTTGGGGCTGAGGGTATAGCTCAGCTGGTAGAGTGCTTTCCCAGCAAGCATGAAGCCCTGGGTTCGAGGCTCCCCCCACACACACTGTGTCAGCCGGCCATGGTGGTACAGGCCTATAATCCCAAGTCTTGAAGGTGGAGTTGAGAGGATCAGAAGTTCTCAACTACACACAGAGTCTGTCTACCCTAGGTTACATGAAACCTTACTTTAAAATACAAGAAAATTGCCAGGCAATTTGGCACACACCTGTAATCCCAGCACTCAGGGAGGCAGAGGCAGGCAGATCCCTGTGAGTTTGAGGCCAGCCTGGTCTACAAAACAAGTCCAGGACAGCTAAGGCTACACAGAGAAATCCTGTCTCAAAAACAAAACAAAATAAAAAAACTAAAACAAATAAACATAAACAATACAACCATAAAATGGAAACGAAATAAAGAAAATAAGGAACAGGGTTTCATTATGTTGCGGAAGCTGACTTTGAACTCCCAGAATCGGGTGGCTCTCTTCAGCCTCCCAAGCCACTGGAATCGCAAGTGAACAGCACCATGCAGGGTTTGATATTTCTCCCCTCCTTCCTTCTGTCCTTCCTTCCCTCCTTCCCTCCTTCCCCTCGACTCTGTGTGGGGATGGCAGGCCAGGCCTCCCACTACGCTATACCCACATCCCCAATCTGCTATTTTTCAGTAGGGCAGAAGAAACTCAAAAGCTCTGTCAGCCCACTGTCAGGACAAGACCCCTCCGATCTGTTGCTGGCATTCTGTGTAGGTCTGTCAATAAGGACCGACATCCCAGAAAAGCTCCCCCACAAGCCAACCATTTTTCATGACTAATTATAATTGGCAAAAGAACCCTCCCCCACCCCACCCCTCCTGCAATCCCTAGCCTCATCCAGGGCTCAGCATTTTCCTTCATTTGAGTTTTTATTTTTGCTCCGGGTCACATGGTCTGTGCTTCCTGCTTGTTCTTCCTCCCCTTGTCCACTGCCATCCTGGTGGGTGGTTCAGTCAGCAGAACTATAAAAACCAAAAGGCAAAAGTGTAAGAGGTCTCTTGGACTCTCAGACAGGAAGGTGGATTCAGCCAGATGTGGCGGCGGCATATGCTGCTTTTCATCCCAGCACTCAGGAAGGAGAGGCAGGCGGATTGCTGAGTTTGGGGCCAGCCTGGTCTGTGTGAGGACAGCCAGGGCTGCATAGAGAGACTCTGTCTCAAAACAGCAACAAAAATACCGTGATTGTCACAGACTGCTTGGCTGGATTTTAGCTCTGCCACACGGAAGTGGACGTTAACAAAAAATGCTGTGAGAAGACAAAATGCAGCCGGGAGATGGTGGTACATGCCTTTGATCCCAGCACTGGGGAGGCAGATTTCTGTGAGTTCCAGGACAGCCAGGGCCACACACAGAGAAACCCTGTCTTAAAAAAACAAAACAAAACAAAACAACAAAAGAAAGAAAGAAAAAAGAAGACAAGCTGCAACTTCTCTTGCGTCCTGCCTTTCCAACCGACACATAGGGGCACACAGCATGGCCTTTTCCACAGCAACCATCACTACTGAACGCTGATCTGTGCTGGGCTGCAGTAATATGCTTAAGCCCATTTCACACAGTATCTTTTTCGTGTTCTTCTTAAATACACTTTTATAATTTTGTGTGTGTGTGTGTGTGTGTATGTGTGTGTGTGTGTGTGTGTCCCCGTGTGTTTTACTGGAGGTCAAACTCAGGGCTTCATACACATTAGAACATGCTCTAGTACTAAGCTATACTCCCAAGCAAGCAGTGCCCAGAGAGGATTCTGCCTGTCCTCCATGGCAGAAAACTACTCCCTGTCTTATCCCCATGTGACCAGGTCGAGGGCTCATGGCTTCTGTAAAAAACTTTGCAGAGGTCTGGTGGAAGTGCTCAGTGCTCTTGTTTTTCCTCTCTCTGTGGTCCCCCAGAGGCCAACCCCATCCGCGGTCAGCCGAGGGCCTTGCCCACACTATAATAAACTCTGAGCTGCCACCCACCCCAGCTGCTACCAGGCCGACTCTACATGGGACCCTCTTCCTGCCGGCCAGCATGGGACCCTCTTTCTGTCCGCAGGCATACTATTCCTCATGCAGGACAGCACCTGTGGATGGGGAGGGAAAAAGATACGCGCATACGGACCTTCCAGCGGTTCCCACATTCATTGCATAAGACAAAGGTGGTCATGGGCTCGTCGGCACTGCGTGTCTGCACCTAACGGAGAAAAGAATCGTTCGTGAGGTCACGCCCCACTCTAGGGCCGCCGTGGCTCTCACCGTCTTCCGAAGCAGGTTCAAATCTCTAGGTTGGCATTGATATTTATTTTTTCTCTTTCAGGAAGGTTTTCCCATGTGTCCTGGACTGGCTTTACCGTTCCCCCACCCCCATCCTCATGTCCTTCAGTCTCACTCATGCTTGCCAGTGATGGAATTACAGAGATATGCTACCAGCCTGGCTACTCCTGATGAGCCTTGCTTGTTGAGCAAATATGAGAAATGAAGAGAGTTCTAGAATCACTAAATATGAGTTAGAATTCAAGATATTGGTACTCCAGAGATAGAACCTAGCAATAGGGCAACCTTGGGGCTTAGGAAAGGTCCCCCCACACACAGTCTGCTATGGTTCCTGGGTACCTTCAGCCTCAGGAACCCCTTAGTCATCACTGAACAAGCTCACTGGACTCGCTCAGAAAGATTGGGACCCACACAAGAGATCCCAGCACTGAGGCCAGAGGATCAGAAATTCCAGGGCAGCCTTAGCTTCAAAATAAATTCAAGGCCCTATCTCAAAATAACCAAGTAAGAGAAAAAGAAAAGAAAGGTTTGGCTCTTAGCTCAAAGCCTTCCTGCTACCAGCCTGTCTAGGCACCTTGACCTAAGCTATTGAAAGGGTTAGACTAACTTTGTAACCTGTATGTCTTCTAAAGCCTATAGTTTTGAGTTTTAGGTTCAGGTTAAGCTAAAGCCTCTTAGTACCTTTCCAGAGAATGGAAAAATGTAACCCTATCTATGAGGACAGATAGAAAAAAAGGCAAGCAAACAATGACCTTCACTCAGCAAAAAGAAAAACTCCTGTCTTTGAGATAGCATTTCTTAGCAACAAACCTAGACTTCTTCTGAGTAGCTTTTGACCTCCAGCCAAAAGTCTGCAGCCCCTAATCTTCAAGGATGAGCTAACCACCCCCACCTTCAATTGCAGCTGCATCCACACTTGGCAGGACTGGCCAAGCTTGAGCACCTAAGACTAACCAATTATCTTACTTTATAGCTTCCTCATCCAATCCTAAATTGCCAAGACTGCAACTTCAAATCTCCCGCAATTTTTCTTTTAAAAACCTAAAGGCCTTTGTCTCCCGGTACCACTCTTTGCTGACCGGCAGGGGTGACCCCATTGCACAATGGTTAATAAACCTCTTGCTTTTGCAACGAGTCTTGGTCTGGGGGAGTTTCTGGGAAGGGCACGATCTTGAACTCCTGAGCTGTGAGACCCCAGATTTTACACTATCAAGTCATCCCATCTGAACCTCAGTTTTCCCTGGGCTGGGTTTCACCTTGCTATGCTTCCTTCTAAGGCCTGTGACTCTCCTAAAGTCTGCGCCCAGCAGCGTGCATGGAGGACAGTGTGGCACAGGCTGGGGACCCCGGCGTTGGCTTTCACTTCAAGACAGGACACACTGGCCCTGCCCCATGGATACACAGCAGCTGATTCCACCCCCTGAAGCCACAAGGTGGTGGCATCTCCTGGCTTGCCCTTCACCCAGTGGCCTGGAGTGCTCAGGTCTGGTTCCTCTCAGCACCTCCCTGGGCAGCTCTCTGCTCCCCCTGCTGGGACCCGCCCCGCCCCGGCCCACTCCTGCCCACCTGGTTGTAAGTGCAGTTCTTTTTCTTGCACTTGTTACAGCGCAAGAGGTCGGTGGTGGTGCCGCCTGTCTTGGCCATCTGGTGCTCACGGATGGCCTCTTGAGTCATGGCGTTCCTCAACTCCCTCAGCTCGTCACTGGCCATTTCCTGGAGAGAGATGAGTCCGATGGGGATGGGGTGGGGGAGGGGGAGGCTCCGCCCTTTGCCAGGTTTCTAGAGTCTGAGCTGAGGAGGTGGTACCTAACTGGGTCAAGAACATAGAGCTAAAGGAGGGGTCGGACCCTCCTCCTAGTGGCCCCCGACTTGGGGAAGGGCTGTTCTGGGGGAGTCTCCTCTCCATCCTGGCTGGAAGGCCCAACCTGGGAGATTTTGCGGGGTCAAGGTCGGCTGGGTGTGTGTAGGACAGCAGCAGGTGCTCATGGCTGGAATTAGTACCATGGGATTCCTTCAGGACTCATCCTGCCTGCCAGGCCTTAGCCTGACTCACTCGCCCAGCAGCTGATCTGGCTGCTGCTCCCCTGTGTCCTGTAGCCTCCTGCTCTGGACTTTAACCCAGTACCTGCTCCAGCTCTGAATGCTCACTAGTCCTGTCTGCTCGTGGGAACCATGGCCTGGGGGCTACACCCCCCAGGAGGTGCCCACAGGAACCAGGCTCACAGGTCTGAGTACTCACTGTGGATACAAACCTCACACAGCTGTTCGAGCATCATCCAGTCCCTTCCCTTTCCTATCTGACCCCTGTCCACCTAACCCCCTCAAGCCTCTCCGAAAGGACAGACATGTATGAAGGCAGCAGCAGTTAGAGTGGGTTTTCGGATCAGAGTGTAACCTAGGCTCAGGTGAAGGGAGATCTGCTTCAGCTAATCATTATTTTGCTATTGTCATTATTTGTTCATTTGAGACAGAGTCTCACATATCACAGGATGTCCTTGAGCTTGCTATGTCGCCCAGGCTGGCCTTGAACTCCCTGCTTCCACCTTCCCATAGCTGGGTTTACAGGTGTTTTGTTGTTTTTTTACCATAGCAACCTGGACTGGCTAAGACACTGCAAAGCTAAGTTGCAATTTCTACCTCTGCACAGTGTTGTCATTTACAAAAAGTCAGGCCAGCAAGGGGATGTGTCTGAGTTGGTAAGGTCCTGGGTTCAAAATCCTGACTCAGTTCCAACAGGAAAAACAGAAAGAAAGTAAGTTGAACCTCAGTCATGTGCCTGTAATCCCAGGACATGGGAGGCAGAGGCAGGTGGATATCTGTGAGTTCAAGACCAGCCTGGTCTACATGGTAAATTCTAGGCCAGCCAGAACTACATAGGGAGGCCCTAACTCAAAACAAATGAACCACTACTACAAAACCCAGACCTTTTAAATGGGAGCACAGTGGGGCAGCAAGATGGCGCAAGAGGTAACGGTGGCACCAGGGCCTGGCTTTGGTCTGTGGCGTCCACGAGCTAGAAGGACAGATCTGACTCCTGCAAGTTGTCCCCTGACCTCTACACACGCCCTGTGGCCTGTGTGCGCCCTCCACAAACAAGCAAAGGGAAAACGAGCCAAGTGACAACTCTGATCCCCGGTTGGTACAGGGGGGCCAGGTTCCTGGTTATCCCAACCCCGGGGCTGTTGTCTGGGGTGCCTGAGGAAAGCACGCTCCTGCCTCGGGAGTGCACACGCATATGCCGACACACTCGCTAACCGCACGCTCACATTCATTGCACACTGCCTACTCGCGGCACGCCCACCGTGTGGTAACTGCATCATGCACATCATAGCTCAACACACAAACGCTCCACACCTCACCCACAGCACACAAAGCTGGCTGTGTCACACCCACACACCAAACGTCTTACCCACGCATTTCTCACACACACCACACACACTCTGTAGATCGTGTGTCACACACACACGCTCACACACACACACACACACACACACTCATCCCAGATGCTCATTCTGTATAACCACGCGCAGGGCATGTACACATCCTCTACTCTGGACCACAAAACAAACAAAAAAACAAAAATAAAAAACCTACGAATCCCACCCAGTCCTTAGGGGCTTAATCCCCTTCTCTGGGTCTCTTCAATTCTGCAGCATTTGAGGACTGACAGGGAGTCCCCCGGTAGCTCTGGAAGCAAATCCCACCCAAGGATGTGCCAAAGGTGGGGTTTGAAACAACTGGTCAAATACCCATCTGTCCAGTGATTATGGTCCTTAATATATTTGAACTTGTGAGAGGAAGGCTCTGTCCATTGAAAGACCTAGATCGTGTCCCCAAGGTGTCACATGCGTTGCTGTTAGAGCTTGCCGCTGGCAGGGCTCTGGCTGGCCTCCCTGACTGACCCCGTGCACTGCCAGGTTGCCCCAGGTTCTCCCCCTTGCTCTTCAACAGCCCTCCTTCCCTCACTGCACCAAGACCCTACAGTCCTCCTCACCTCTGCTGTCATCTTGGCGATGAGCTCTGGGGAAATGGCCCCACTGAGCACGTTCCGCCTCAGGCCTGGGTTCCTGGGGTCCTTTAGGTTGCTGATGCGGCTGCGCACACGGTTCCGGTACTTCATATCCGTGCTCTTGAGTTCCTGGTAGATATGTAGCTGGGTTAAGGGCCACCTTGCCATCCTTGGAGGAGCTCGGGGAATGGGAGGCTGCTACAGGGGTCAGGAGTCATCTCTGTAGCCTCTGCTTAAAGGGCATCTGGTTTGGGCACTGAGATCGGCCAAGTATCAGAGACAGGAACAGCCTCCAAGAAGAGGCCAGACTGCAGCAAGCACCGTGGCATCGGGGGATTGGAATAGGCATGCTGGTTTGTCTGAGTCTCTCATGTGACCTCAGGTGAGTCACATGACTTCTGTGCTTCGGTTCCCTTCTTCTTCTCCTTCATTTATTTACCTTTATTTTATGTGAATTGATGTTTTGCCTGTATTGTCTATGTGAGAGTGTCAGATCTTGGAGTTACAGTTGTGAGCTGCCATGTGGGTGCTGGGATTTGAACCTGGGTCTTCTGGAAAAGCAGTCGGTGTCCTTAACCACAGAGCCATCTCTCCAGCCCCAGTTCCCTTATTATAAACAACAACACAGATAAAAACAAAACAACAAAACAAACCAGGGCTGTTAGGAGAGATCGTGCACAAGGAACCAGTGTAGGGCATGGAATACGTCAAGTGCTCTGCATTCAGGAGGGCTACGATGAGGATGAGGATGATGAGGGAGACATCTAGTGTGAAGGGACCCCAGAGCTGAGGACCAGCTGTCAAAGGAAAGGTCAAGAGACGTACGTTTCAGGCCCGGAGAAGTTAAGTGCAAAAGTGAACCATTGGCACCTGAGCATGGTTGTGGCGCACACCTTTGATCCCAGCACTCAGGAGGCAGAGGCAGGTGGATCTTTATGAGTTCAAGGCCAGACTCCGCTACAGAGCAAGTTACAGGACAGCCAGGGTTACACAGAAAAGCCCGGTCTCGAAAAACCAAAACCAAAACCAAACCAAACCATGACGCCACTGAAAGCTTAGCACGGTGGCACACACCTTCAATCCCAGCACTCAGGACAGAGGCAGGTGGATCTTTGTGAGTTTGAGGCCAGCCTGGTCTACACAGCAAGTTCCAGAACAGCCAGGGCTACAGAGACCCTGTATCAGAAAACCAAAAAAAACCCAACAAAAACAAAACAACAAAATCCAGGGGCAGTCCTGTTCTCCCCTCCACCTCCAATTTCTTTTGAGATGTGGTCTCTTGTAGCCTGGCATAGCCTGGAGTTCTCTGTGTAGCTGAGGATGAGCTTAAACTTCTGAATCTCTAGGCTCCATCGCCTGAGTGCTAGAATCACAGGTAAGCATTATTCTCCCAAACCAGCTACATCCCAGCCTCTCCCCAAGGAGTCTGCTCAGAAATCTCCCCTCCTCTTAGGCACAACCCTTCGTCACAGGGACCCACTCTGGGAATGGCTGGCCAGTTACTTCTCCCGCAAGTGGATGAGGAAAGCCAAGGCTTAGAAAGGGCTCAGGTGAAAAAGAGAGAGAGAGAGAGACAAGAAAAAAAAATTTATGCTAGTTGTGGGGGCACATGCCTTTAATCTCAGAACTCAAAGAGGCAAAGGCCGAAGAATTGCTGTGAGTTCGAGGCCAGCCTGGTCTACAAGCCAAGGCTACACAGACAGAAACCCTTTCTCAAAAAAAAAAAAAAAAAACTTTTTTTTTTTTTTTTGAGAAAGGGTTAGGTCCTTGAGGGCAGATTCCTAGTGGGGCCAAGGCTGCAAGTCAGGCCTCCTCTACGGCAATGCTCTGTCCACTTGAAGGCAGGAAGTCACCCCTGGCTATGGACCACAGTTCCATCCAAGCCCAGTAGCTTAGATCCTCCCCTCCAAACATGGAGCAGGACTAGGGAGCTCAACCTCATTTTCTTGGTTTCCTGAGCCACTGCTGGGAAAAAGCACAGCCGAGAGAGAGCAGCTGACTGTCAGGAACTGGTAGAAAGGATGTGGCGCTGTGGCTCTGGGCCCATTTTTGTTTTAATGTCATCTGTACAATAACAGGGTGAAAATATCTGGGCAGTGGTGGCGCTCCCCTTTGATCCCCGCACTCGAGGAGGCAGAGGCTGGAGTATTTCCAAATTCAAGGCCAGCCTGGTCTGCAGAGTGAGTTCCAGGACAGCCAAGGCTACACAGAGAAACCCTGTCTTGAAAAACAAAACAACAACAAAAGAATGTGCCATGAAGCATTCAGGAGCCAAACTGTAAGTTTAACACTGCCATTCAGACAGAACTCCTGTACTGTGGATCTGTGGGTCTGTGGCCTCTCTCTTTCCTCCTGTACACACCAGTACCACAGATGAGGATCAGGTGGAGAGCAGTTCTGGGGACTCTGGGACCCTTCAGAGGCTCACGCCCAGGTCACACCGATTAGGTCAGGCTCACTCCACAGACGACAGACCTTTGAGGAACACAGAGCATATGAGGCCTGTATTCATCCTCCCCTCCACCATGATAAAAAGCTGGGCAGCTTGCTGTGGCTTCCGCTCCTCTCCTAACAAAAGAGACAGACCATGGAGAAAGCAAATGAGGAAGAAAGACAGATGTAAAGGAGACCGGGCACCAGGCCACCCCTTCTGCTTCAAACTGGGCAGGGAAGCCACTGACCATTCTGCAGAAAATGAAGATGACGTCTTGAGAGCCCGAAGCTCTGGGTTCCTGAGTTAACAGAAAAATGGTGAGAATGTATTTGCTGAGAGACTGGGAAATGCAAAGTTTGCTGAGGTATGGCTGGATAATCAATGAACAGTGGTTAAGAGAAACCACGAGAGAATATGCCTGGGGACTAGGGCTGGCTCAGGCAGGAGACAGAAACAGGCAAGTTGGCTGCCCACAGTCTGGTCCCTGGCCTCCCAGGCAGACCCAGTCACACATCTTATGTGACACTGAAAATCCTTTTCTCCTGGATCTTCCGGTTCCTTTATTCCATACTTCATCCCAGACATGCAAACCTTTGTCTCCAGTAAGAGAAAGTACAACATCCTTTCAATGGGGAGCAACTATTTGGCCCAAGAACCAAATCTTCTAGTGTGGGAGAGCGGCATTACAGTAAGTCCATCATCTCCACGATGAAAATCAAGAGGTAAGTGCTGGCCCAGGCCTGTAATCCCAGCACTCAGGAGGCTGAGGCAAGCAAATCTCTGACTTTGAGGCCAACCTGGTCTACAAAACAAACAAAACAAAACAAACAAAAACCAGGCAGTGAAATGAATAAAGTATATGGAGAGTTTAAGTATATAGAGCTGCCGGACAGTTTGGTGAGTGCCTTTACTATCAGCCTCTGGAGGCTGAGGCAGGCAGATCTCTGTAAGTTTGAGGTTAACCTGGTCTACCTAGAGAGTGAGTTTTGGCAAGCCAGGGCTACATAGTAAGTTTCTATTTTGTTTTTTTCAAGACAGGGTTTCTCTGTGTAGCCTTGGCTGTCCTGGACTCCCTTTATAGACCAGGCTGGCCTCGAACTCACCGAGATCCACCTGCCTCTGCCTTCCCTAGGAGGTTCTAGCCTTAAAATGTACTTTTTTTTTTTTTTACATAGAACGGCATACCGAGGCTTCCGGTCCAGCTCTGATGCCCTGGAGCTCCCAGCTTTAGTTTCCTTGTCTATACAAGGAGAACACCAGCATGTCCCACAGGGACAGCAGGGAGGACTAAAAGAGTCAAGAGGGGTCAGGTGCCTGCTCAGTGGCATCACAGAGTGCAACTGGGGAGCTGTGTCCATCAGAGGAGGGAGGGCAACGCTGAGGATGAGGCACGCTGCTCTCTGTTCACTCAAGGTCTGGGAGGCAATGGCTTGACCAGCTGTATGACATGGTCTGTCTGGCCCAGCAGCTGAGCACTCCACCCCCCGATTCTGAAGTCACACTTTCAGGGTTCAGACTCCAGCTACATTTAGCTGCAGGAGCTTTGCCAGGTGACAGCACCTCTCTGAGCTTCTGGTGCCTCACCTGCAATTGGATGAACCCAGGGAACCCACTGATGGACTGGGCAAGACCTAACAGTGTCAGCTGTACTCAGGGGCCCCGGTTCAAGGACAGGGCAGGGAGCTGTCTTCAGAGCTGCTCCCACAGCTCTGCCAACCAGACAGGCTAGGCACCTCAGCCCCACGTGACATGAGGATATGGTCTTCTATTTCAGAGGCCAGCTTGTCACAGTTGACTCCATAGTCCTTAAAATCGTCTAAAAGAGAAGGGGGAACAGACATCAGCCCTGCTTGACTTTGCCAGGGATGCCTGTACCCCTGGTATTCCTGTACCCCCTACTGGAGATTCTGCCTCAATAAACAAACAAATTAGACTCTAAACAAATAAACAAATACACAGACAGCCTCTCCCCTGCTGCTTCCTCCTTCCCCCAGCCCAAGCCCTCACCTTCTGCCTTCAGGGCTGCTGACAGCATCTCCACACACTTGTCCCGGACAGAGTCCCCCGTGAGATAGCAGGGGGCCAGGAGACAGACAGAAGGGGCAAATGTGGGAGTTGAGGGGCTGCTGGGGGTCTTGGGAGTTTCCGCTTTAGATCTGCTGCTGTTGGATCTGAGGATGACAGTCAGTCGTGAACAGGTTGACATGAGGCAAACAAACCATTTTTGGAGAGTAACATTCTAGATGTTTCCATGAATATGGGTGCTCTCTTCTCATTCTCAAAGCAGCCCTCTGAGGCAGGTGCTACTTTAGATTCTTGACGAGGATCATCTCATTTAATCCTCATTAAAAAAAAAAAAAGTGGGCTAAAATATATGAGCTTGACTCCTGTCACGTATCTGGGAACCTATAAGAACTCAAGTGCAAGCATTTGAGCTTGTGGTACCCAGGCTTCCTGCCAACCACTGTGCTCTGCTTGTTTCAGAATGAGGAACACTTAATGGTTAGGCTCTAGCTTTTCTATACTGTGATAAATGCACTCTTACATATAAATTTATATCATTCATCCAGAATTTATTAGGTACCGTATACATTTATCTATCCATCCATCCATCCATCCATCCATCCACCCACCCATCATCAGGTCCCTACTATCCAAAAACTGTGTGAAGAATAAGCACCCAAGTGGGATTATCTTTCTCCCTCCTGGAGCTCAGAGTCTATTGAGTAGTGTTTATCTACCACCATCTAAGAGGCCTGGTTCTTACTGGGCTCCAGAGTTGTGCCACGCACTCCTGGAACATTTTCTAGTTTAATTCTCATAGGAGTCCCTGGTGGTCAACACTCCCATCGTCCTATTTACAAACAAAAAAATAAGCTTAGAAAATCCCATCACTGAGTTCTACCCAGGGCCTATCTAGACATACTGACAGTAGATGCATTGTCTACAGTGACCCGTTTACTCCAATGACTAGATGACAAAAAAATCTCATAGTCCAGGCTGGCCTCAAACTTACTACGTAGCTGAGGAAAGCACTGAACTTCTGATCCTCCTGCCCCCGCCTCCTAACTGCTAAGACTATAGTTGTGCATCCCTGCCTGGTTTATGAGGGGCTGGGGAGTGAACCCAGGCTTTGAGTATGCCAGGCCAGCATGCTAAGAACTGAACCATGTCCCCAGCAGGATAGTGATTGATTTTGTGTTTGGTATTTGTGTGCATGTGTGTGTGCAGTGTGTGGAGATAAGAGTCTCTTGCTGGGACCCTGCAGGCTAGGCTGGCCAGCCAGGGAGCCCCAGGGACCCTCCTGACTCGACCTTCCCAGGACTGGGATTGCAAGCATGTACATAGGCCGCCACGTCCAGCTTCTTCTCATGGATGCTGTAGACGGCACTTACATTTGCTGAGCTGTCTCTCATTCTGTCTTTCTTTTCGTTTGGAGAGGGGGGTTATTTGGGGTTTTTTGTTTTGTTTCTCTGTGTAGCCTTGGCTATACTGGAACTCACTCTATAAACCAGGCTGGCCTCAAACTTTGAGATCTGCTTGCTTCAACCTCCCGTGTGTTGGGATAAAAGGTGAGCCCTACCAAGCCTGAGAAGTTTTGTTGGAGAGCAGGACTGAGTAGCTGGCATTTCCCAGGGTGAAAAGCAGAGGTCCCTCCGGCCTGTCAGTCATGTCTTAGCTCAAAGGCCACATCCTCAGGGAGATGTGCTCCTTCACCTTAGCTAAGGCCAACTGCCTCCACCCTGCTCTCCTACTGCACAGCACTTACCCAAGTCTATGATTAACTTGCTCTCGTGCTTTTAGACCTTGTCTGCTTCATCCTCAGGTGACAGTCCATACAGAGATGGTGTGGCCCATTCACTCCATAGCAAGAGCTCGCTAACCTGCTGTTGAATGCATGCTGGGTGAAGGACTGGGGAGCACAGACGGGGCTCACCTGGAAGGAGGTACGTCCCTTCTGAAAATCAGTATTCCTATTTCCTGGGCTTACAAGAGGGCTCACTCTCCCATTCCTCAGTGGAAAGGAGTCCTTGCTGATATGTGTGGCCCTGGCACACCTAAGGTCCAGGGCTCACCAAGGAATGTGTAGAGGAAGCCCACAGCACAGGGCTTTGGAGTTGACAGCAACGACAGTTATCACGTTTGGAACGTCTACGCAAGCTTGGGAGCTGAGTGTGGTAGCACATGCCTGTGACTCCAGTGCTCAAGAGACTGAGGCAAGAGGACCAGGAGATCCAGCCTGGGCTACATAATGAAGGCTAGCCTCATACCCCAGTCCCTAAAGAAGTCAGGCTTTCATAGCTAGGCAGGTGAAGGTAGCTGCTACAAAGCATGATGACTTGTATTCAAGACTTAGAGCCCACACGGAGGAAAGAGAAAACCAGTTTCCCAAAGTTTCCCTCAGGCCTCCATGTGTGCCCCCCTCCCCGCCTCACACACACTCCCCCCTTCACTCACACACCAACCCACACATCTAGGCTTCCAAGGCAAACTCCAAAGCCTGGTACACCCACTATGGCCTTGGGCAGTTTTCAGTTTTCTCACATGTAAAATAGGAATGAGTAGCATCCATTCCTCAGGCAAGGGAGTGCACACCTGTAATCCCAGCACTCAGGGAGGCAGAGGCAGGTGGATCTCGGTGAGCTGGAGGCCAGCCTGGTCTACAGAGTGAGTCCATGATAGCCAAGGCTACACAGAGAAACCCTGTCTTGAAAAACAAAAGAGTAGCCTCCATCTTGTGGGTCTGTTGGAATGACTAAAAGAACCTAAGAAATTTGCAGCAAGAAGCATCAGGTCACTTATACTGAATATGAACGTTACTTTCCCATGCTCTGCATTTGTGGCGTGTGGATTGGGAGCAAGGCCAAGCCATCCATCTCGCCATCTGAGTCTCACCATGACCTTGGGAAGTTAAAATCATTCCCACCCTATAGATCAATAGAGCAGATCTCAGTGAGTGAAACCAAGTTGTTCAAAGTCATCCATCCAACGTCCACGGTGGTTCCGTGAGACAGGAAAGGGCTGTCTGTCTCTCCAGTTCCCCCAACACATTTCACTGTGTCTGGAAACAAGACTTTTCCAGAGTGTCCTTACTTAAGTAAAGTGCCGCTTGTTGGAGCACTTTCCCCTCCTTCCTGGTAGGACCCCGGCTCTGTGTCTTCCAGCTTGGCTAGGAGCTGGCTGCCTGGGTTTCGTGACTGGACTGGGTTGTTTCAGGCAGTCACACTCATACCATGAGGAGCTACCAAACTCTAGAAAGGGCATCGTTAACGAGGCTCGGGAGTTAGGCGCGTTTTTCAGCACCTTCCTTCGGCTCCGAGGTTTGTCGGTCTCAGCTTCAGTCCTGCACGAGGGCAAGCTCTAAGAAATCCTCCCTAGTGCTTGGCAGAGGCACTTGGGGGCTTTGCTCGCTGCTCTTGAGCGCCACCTCGAGGGCAATTCAGTTACTGCAACAGGCAGTAGCTGCCCAGCCAAAGCCTGGAAGATAGGCGACTGATCTGAACGCCTTTCTTCTCTGTCACCATGGAGTCCCTCAAGCGGGTGTAATCTCTCTCTGTGTGCGTTCCAGTTATAGTTCCCACAACAGCTGAGCACTTCTATTGACACACTTCTGCCCCGCTTTCCAACTCCCAGCTCAGATTCTCTCTCGTGAGTGAGGCATTCTTGACATTCTTCCTGTGTTCTTACCGCACAGTGTAGCCGCTGCACTGAATCCGAGCTATGGATCTAAGGAATCCAAGCTAGCATTTTAGCATGTGACCTCTGACTCAGAGGTCCCGAGTTCGATCTTTGCCTGGCCTTACAGGCTGTACCCTGGTGGGATACGCTATGTGTTCTGTTGGATCTTAGAAAAATCCACACGAGTGGCCAGTATTTACAATTATGAATTTCACATGAAGAAATATTAATATCTAGCTTTCCTTAAACACTGGAACACTGGCCAGGCGTGGTGGTCCACACGTTTGATCCCAGCACTCGGGAGGCAGGGGCAGGCATATCTCTGCGAGTTCGAGGACACCTGGTCTACAGAGTAAGTCCCAGATAGCCAAGGCTACACAGCGAAACCCTTTCTCAAAAACAAAAACAAAACAAACAAAACCAAAGCTGGAACACTGGGAGAGATGAGCTCTGCAACTGAGAACGTTAACTGCTCTTACAGAGGACCTCAGTTCCCTCTCCAGCGTGGCTCACAAACTACCGGGAACTCCGGGTCCAGGAGACCCAACACCCTTTCCTGGCCTCTGAGCTCCTGCATGTGTATGGAAGACATAAGCTCATGCAAGTAGACACACATAAACACAAATTAAACAACAACCAATAACACCCATAAAACCGGAAGACTGAGGGTTGGTGAGCTGGCTCAGCGAGGAAGGGTGCTTGCCACCAAACATGACAACCAGAATTCCACCCCGGAACCCACATCGTGGAAGAAAAAAACCAACTCCTATAAGGTGTCCTTTGGCCACACACACATACACAATCAATCAATGTAGAAATAATCTTAATACCGGAAGATTGAGGCCAGAGAGATGGCCACATCAGCCTGGTGCTGAGTTTGATCCTCAGAATCCACATAAGGATGGAAAGAGAGAACCGGATCCACAAAGTTGTCCTCTGACCCCATCACATGCTTCCACACATCACGCAACACATACACATACACACGCACACACACAAATGCACGCCCCCCACACAAATAATAAATAAAAATCTGAAAGATGACAGCCAAGCATGCTGACACATCTGAATTCTCAGTTACTTGGGAAGCTAAGGCGATAAGGCTGCTTTGGGCCCAAAAGCTTAAGGTCAGCCAGGTAAGATTCTGGGGGCACACACCCCTAACCCCAGCTACACAGTGAGACCTCATCTCACAAACAAACAAACAATCACAAACCCCGAAAGGCTAATCGGAGGTGTGCTTTCATAAGGCAACCACTGGTTAGGGCTGGGAAGCGTCACCCCTTCAGGTAGGCGGGTTGTCTAGTTAGCTGCACGCTGCATCAGTCACTCAGGGTGTGACTGTGTCCTCCCGACCTGGGGAATGGTGGGTTTGCAAAGACATGCCTAGCAGCTGTGGTTTGCTGAACAGATGAATGAATTAACCAATGAATGGACGAATGAATGAATGAATGAATGAATGAATGAGCCTAAACAGAGCTGGTCATAGGTCGTATACCTGCAATCCCAGCAAGTGGAAAGCTAAGGCAGGAAGATGTTGAGGTTGAGGTCAGCCTCAACAGAAATCTTGTGAAAAGGGAAGGAAAGAAGACGTAAGAAAAGCAAAGGAGAGGAGAGGAGAAGAAAGAGAAAATGGAGGGAGAGATTGATAGCTACACTTCCCAGCTTCCCCTGCGGACTATGAGAGTCATTTCTGCCCCTATAAGGGGCCATCTCTCATCTTTTTTTAAAAAAAAAAATCTTTAATTTTATTTTATGTGCATTATTGTGAAAATGCTCCTTGGAATTGGCATATAGACAGTTGTGGCTGCTGGGAACTGAACCAGGGTCAATTGGAAGAGCAGAAAAGCTCTTAACCACTGAGCCACCTCTCCAGCCTCACGTCTTCTAATGTAAGCATTTTGGCCATCCACACATATGGGTAACAAAGATGCCCCCTCACTACAAATAAATGTGCTCCACCTAGGGTCAGACCAAGCCTCTCTTCCTGCTTTCCATCTCTTTACGGCTGCCTTAAGTGATCTAATAGAGATGAGGAAGGAAAGAGAAAACAGAAATAAAGGAGTAGAGAGTACAAGAGTCTAAATAGAAGATAAAATGCATTTTTAAGACCTGCTTCTGTCTTTTGTGTGTGTGGGGGGCATTTGAGATAGGGTTTCTCCGTGTAGCCCTGGCTGTCCTGGACTCACTTTGTAGACCAGGCTGGCCTCTGCCTCCCAGAATGCTGGGATTACAGGCATGCACCATTGCGCCCAGCTTCTGCTTCTGTCTTTCGGTTGCCTGTCCCTGATATTGAGCCAGAAGGGAACGTTACAACTACCAGGAAGACACATACATTCTGTTTGGTTGACTTTCAGAAGAAAAAGCATTCCGGAGGAGCCAGGAGGCCTTAAGGCTGTGAGGCAGGTGGAAGAGTGGTTGGACTTGAGGTAGAAATCTTTCCCCCAGCGTTAAATGAGTTCCCTGGATCAGTGGGACATTTCATTTTGTGGTTACACAGAGCTAGTGTCATATTCCATGGTATTTAGCATCTCTTCCAATTAAACACTAGCAATATCTCCATTCCACAATCCTCACCCTCACCCCTCATCCACATAGAATATTCTCAAAAGTGCCTCCTATAGAAAACCAGTGGTCTATAAGCAGGATGATGCCAGAGCTGGTTTCCCCAGGCCCTGCCCTCTGCAGACATTACTAATTGACTGCAGAGTTCTTTTCTTTAGAGGCAGGATGATTCAGCGTCGTCAGACTCTCAGGAGCACACCACTCAGCAGCTGGAGTTGCCACTTTCCACCATGCTGACTCTGTGTCAACCCCCCAGGCCTGGCAAAACTTCACAAAGCTTTCAATGAACAAATTTTTTGCGCTCTTACTCTTTCCGAGTGCAATCTTATTGAAAGCAGGCTTCAAAGAAGTGCAGCGTCTGACTGACACATTCTCCCACAATCCCTTAGTGTCCAGGCAGGCCAGCCTGGGATTCAGTATGGCTCCTTGATCCTCCCCATTTCTCTCCATCCACCACAAGGCAACTTGTGCTCTCCGTCAGGTATATGTCTCTGGCTGCTCTGACCTTTGACCTCCTCCCTTCTTCAACCCCAATTTCCATTCATTCCTTTACCCACAAACTCCCTGGTTCCCTCATTCAGGTTTCTAAAATGCCAGCCAAACACTAATGATTCTCTCTCTCTCTCTTTCTCTTTTTTTTTTTTTCCTGAGACATGGTTTCTCTGTGTAGCCCTGGCTGTCCTGGAACTCCTTTGTAGATCAGCTCAAATTTACAAACAATCCACCTACCTCTCCCTCCTGAGTGCTGGGATTAAAGGTACATGATCTCCCCCACCCCCACCTCACACCCCATGACTCAAATTTTATTTCCATCCCAAGCTTTCTTACTTACTTTCTTGATTCAGCTGCTCTGCCAAAATGCCTTGGGCCGCTCAAATACATTTCCAGACCTAGGCCTCAAAGTGCTGATCCACCTGCCTCTGCCTCCCAAGCGCAGCCACTCAGAAGGCCTGAACTCCCTCTGTTTCTGCTGCCTCCCTCACACCGCTTCTGCAGATTCTGTCACTGTTCCTTGGCTCCGTCAGGTTGCCTTCACACACCCTTGACTACATGTGACCCCCAACACCTGCATAAGCAGCTGCCTCACCTCTCATTATACAGCCTAGGCTGGCCTTGGGCTCGCAGTCATCCCCCAGCCTCCCAGATACCGTTTTTAGTTTGTTTGTAATCGCTGGCTGTCCTTGTTAAGCTCCACTCGACTTGGGGATGGTACTCTTGATGGAGTGGCGGTGACTTGTCAGCAGTCACACCTGAAGGTCCCAGCATTTGGAGCTAGCAGCGGAGAAACCCCCTCCCCCTCCCCGATGAACAGGACCCTTTCCTTTACCTTTCCACCGACGGCCTTTTCGGAGAGGAGGTGATGGATGACCTGGACTCTACAGAGTCTCTCCTGCAAGACACAAGACTGGAGATGATGCTGTCTTGTAGGCTGGCAGCCGCACTGCTCCCTGGGAGAGGAAACCCTGGAGCCAGACCTGCTGGGCAGAGGAAGGAGGGAGCCTGCCTGGGCCGCAGCTGCCAGGGAAAAGGAGATCCCGAGGTACCCTCTCACCCACCCCCACCTGACAGAGCAAGCCAAGGGAGGAAACAGATGTCTGCCGTCATGCTACCCTGTAGCGACTAATCACTCTCTTGACAGCCCTCACAGATCTCCTCCCTGCTCTCAGGCAGGCTTTGGCCAGCGGCATCCCTGCCCTGGTACTTGTATCTGGAGCTGGAGGGGCTGTGATGGCCTTCAGCCTCCCCTGCAGCCTATTAGGAGCCTGGGAGACGCACACAGACTTGAGAGGTAGAAGAGCTGAGTTCAAGTAACAAGTGTAAAAAGCAAGGGACAAGATCAGATGTGTGCTCTGTCCCAAAAGTCTTATAAGAGAACAATGTCCAGGAGGGGGAAAAGAAAAAAGACTGAAAATCCACCCAATCCTGTAACCACTGTGTCTCTAAGTCACTGTTCCCTTTCATTGCTTTATACAATTCCCGCTTGAAAGCTGCGTTCCAGTCTCGTCTCGTAATTCTCCTGATTCCACAGCTCACAACTTCTCGAATACTGCATAACTTACTTCCTACTGTATTTATTGGGCCACAGTCCTCCTTGGGAGTTATGTAAAAGCAGCGTTGCGGGAGGACTGGGCTGGACCGCAGTGGTAAAGGCGCTTGCCTAGCCTAGCATGAGGAAGGCCCTGGGTTCCAGCCCCAGCACCGTGAAGAGAGCTGACAAGGGACAGGGAAGAGAGCAGAGGGGAGGTGGGAGATGGAAAAGGGGAGGGGAGAGAAAGAGGGAAGGAGGGGGAGATGTCAAGCCTGATGCCCTGAGGTGGATACTCTGACCTTATATGGTAGGACAGAACTGACCCCTGCAAGTTGTCCCCCCCCCGACCTCCACACCTGTGCACACACTTTTTTTTTTTTTAAGTTTATGCATTGAGGCATTTGAAAGATTCTGAAGGTATGTCTGACAAAAAAAATCTACCACAAACCTATTAATTACCGGGTGGCCAAACACAAACCCCAAGAAGTTAGGACATTTCCCAGTTACAGGGTCTAAGGAAGGTTTAGTCACTTTTTGAAAAATTTTCTTTTGAAATGGGGGCTCCGTGTGTCACTCAGGCTGATCTCCAACTGCTCTCAAGGCGCCCTACTGCCTCAGCTTTCCCGAAGGCTCATCCATATATCTGTTGAAGTCTTTAATGTGCCATAATAAACGTGGCATCTGTGTCCTACCCACGACACACAGGCTTTCGAGAATACCCAGCTGAATACCCAGGTGGGCAACGGGAATGGCGTGCAGTCGAGACCACCACGCCTCTGCTGCTCTCTGCAGAGGCAAAGACCCAGTCCCACTCCCACAAAATAACTGTGGGATCTGGAAAGTCCTTACTCCCAGGATCCTCTGCTTCCTGGTGGCTTGGCACAAATGCTGAGTAGATACTGAATCAATGACTTCCCCTTCTCAACTAGCCCCACTAGCTCTGCAGACCTGACCAAGGTAGGAATACGTGTTACCAGGCAACATCACGGCCAGTGCAAAGGGGTTGGTTCATAAAGTGACCAAGACATTGTTATGTGCATTGGTATTTTGCCTGCATCTCTATCTGTGTCAGGGTGTCAGATTTTGGAATGACAGACAGTTGTGAGCTGCCATGTGGGTGCTGGGAACTGAACCCAGGTCCTCTTGAAGAGCAGTCAGTGCTCTCAACCACTGAGCCATCTCTCTGGCTCCCTCAAGAAGTGCTCTTGTCAGTGGTGACTGCTCTTGTTGGACACCAAGGCTTTGCTTGTGGGGCTGGTGCAATGCTGGGGACATGGGGATCCTCAAAACAGGGGTTCTCTCCCACTGTGGTCTCCTTTGTTTGTATCTGAGGGGTCAGAGAATAGCTGTGCAGTCTCCTATGAGAACCCTGCTTGTTTTTTGAGGCCGTGGGCTTGCTATGTTGCCTTGCCTGGCCACAAACCCATGACCTCCTGCTCCTACCACTTGAGCGCTGTGTTTACAGCCATGTGCCACGGTGCCTGTCTCCTGTGAGGGTCTGAAGGGTGAGCGATGCCAGGGCTGCATGTCTGTCATGCTTCCCATCCCTCCGCCTGTCTCCGTGATGCCAAGTGCCATGCGAGTCAGACTGAGCCAAAGACCCCAGAGTGAGCTCTGGAGAAGACCCTCACATCTCCTCGGGAGCTGTGTATCTTCCGGAAATCCACTCAACAGCTGCTGGCAGAGGCTATGAAAAGCATGCCTCCCCCACCTCCTGCTCTCCAGCCCAGGAAAGAAGTACCTGTTTTTGGGCTCTTCCGCTCCTTTCTTCTTTGGTGGAGAGAGACCTGCTTCTGGCTTCCAGTCTGAACAACCGAGCCCCCTTTCTTTCTTCTTTGCTTTTTCTCTGTCTTCTCTCTCTCCTTTGGTGGTTCCAGGGGAGTCTGGAAATGAAAAGCACTCAGCTCCTTCTCAGCACGGCCCTGTGCGACTTTCGTCCCTGGGGAATAAAGGGCCAGAACCGGGGGAAGGCTGCATGTGTACCCATCACCCACATGCACGCACACACACGTATGTATGCACCAACACACACGAACACAGGAATGCGCGCACAGACACACATGCACACACGTGTGCGTGCCTGTCCACAGATGCACGTATGCAGGAATGCACTCACATAAATACATGGGCAGGGGTGCATATGTAACATGCACCCCTCACACAGGGACACGGGCACAGCAGGACACCCATCTATGCAGAGACAGGCAACGTGCACATACATGCGCACAAACGGAAACATACCGACACACATACAAGAAAAGCCAAATGCTACTTATACCCGTGCACACAACACTGGGACTTCCACGATCCAGGGGCCGTGTACCATTTATTAAATAACTCAATGATATAAGCTGAGCCTATCAGCCAGGCCTGGCCTCTCCCATCTGCTGGGAGGGAGCCCCGTCTCCCATCAGTCTTGCCCCCTCTCACCCAGCAGCCTCTTCCAGTTTTTAATGAGAACTTTGGCCAAGGACACCACCTCCTTGTCTGAGCAGTGCTTGCGAACTCCATTGACCGCGACTCCAATCCTGGTGGTCTGTGAGGAAAGGATTAAGGGATCTGACCCACAGGACTGTCCGCTGACCCACAAAACTGGCTGCTGACCCACAGGACTGTCCACTCTTACTGAAGAGAACAGCTCTCGCTCAGCCATCACTTCTCTCCAACCTAGACCTCTCCAGGGCCCTTGCCCTGGCCCCCAGCAGAGGGCATTACCTTGATCCATCAGTCGTCTATCTTAGAACTGGGCCCTGACCTACATCCCCTATACTGATAAAGCTGGAGTGGGGGTGGGTGTTGGCTGTAGTTAGGACCCTACTAGATGCTTTGAGAAAAGTCTCGACCTAGGCCCACCGCTGGCTGCCACATCTCCGATCTATGCTTATCTTTTGGGGGCGAGAAGTCTCTGGTAAAGTTTGGGTGAGGTGGGAAATCTCAAAAAGGTCATAGGCCATTTGGATCCCATGGGCATTTGGCTTTGGAGAAAGATTCAAGGAAAGCACCTTCTCCTTAAACCCAAGGATCCTGACTCCTGAGCCTGGGAAAGAACCTACCCTCGAGGAATGCTCCCTCGACTCCATGTCAGTATCTCATCCCTAGCACCCCCCACCCCTCGGAAACCTCCACAGGGCCTTTCCCTCCCACAGGGGCACTGCTTCCAGAGCCCCCCCAACACACACACCTGCAGCAGCTGGATCGACATCTGACAACCGTTCAGCTTCTTCAGAAGGTCCAGGGCCCCTTCCTGTGGGAAGTCACAAGAAGAACACTGAGACCTGGGTGTTGCCCCGGGCCTCTCTCTGATTGCTGTGAGCTCTGGGGAGAACAGGTGGATGGATGTGTGGGCCAAGGACAGATGTGGGCACACAGAAGCAGAGAGAAGGGGAAGGTTCTGTGTGCCCCCCTCAGTTGGCTAGCTGCCCCTCCCATCACTCCCCCCACCTCCCACCAGCCTTTCCCTGGGCTTCTTTCTGCCCAGCATGCCCCTGTCTTGTGTCTGCCTGGAAATGCAGACACTACCTGAAGCTTCCCTACCTCCTTTCCTCTCCGGCATCCCTTTCCCTCCCCTCACGGACTGTGAGCTTCCGTGGGGTGGGGGAGGACTAAGGACTTTTGCTTCTTTTGTTTGATGGGGGAGGGGGTCTCACTATGTTGCCCAGGCTAGCTTGGAACTCTTGGATCTTCCCACCGCAAACCTCCCAAGCAGCTGGGATTGTACAGGCTCATGGTTGGCAACCTGGCTCTCTCCGGCTTTTAGATCAGTGTTATCGGGGTAAAACTGACGATGCAGTAAGCCACACGTGTTGTAGCGTACAAGTGTACAAGCGTTCACACATATTTCACTGTGGTGTCTGTATGTTTGTTCACGTGTGTTTGGCTGTAAGTGTACATGTGTGTGCAAGCCAGAGGTTGACATCTGTCTTTCTCTAGCACTCTCCACCTTATTTTTTAAAGATTTATTTATTCATGTATATGAGCATCCTATTTGCATATATGCCTACATGACAGAAGAGAACATTAGACAGAAGAGGGTGTCAGATCCCAGTATAGATGGTTGTGAGCTACCATGTGGGTGCTGGGAATTGAACGCAGGACCTCTAGAAGAGCAATCAGTGCTCTGAACTACTGAGCCATCTCTCCTGCCCCTCCCCCTTATATATTGAACGAGGTCTCTCAACTGATCTCAGAGCTTGTCCATCTGGCTACTCCGAGCCAATCAGCTTGGGGTGGGGACCCTCTGTCTCCACCTGTGGCACATGCGGAGAGTACAGGCCATCAGCTGATGGGTGCTGGACACCGAAGCCCAGTTTTCAGACTTGTACGGCTAATTACGTGTGTGCATATGCATAATTTTAAACATATTAATTTTGTTTTTTGAGACAGGGTTTCTCTGTGTAGCCCTGGCTGCCCTTGACTTGCTTTGTAGATCAGGCTGGCCTCGAACTCACAGAGATCCACCTGCTTCTGCCTCCCAAGGGCTGGGATTAAAGATGTGTGCCACTGAATCCGGCCCCTTCTAATTTATTTTAAATGTATGTTTTGTCTATATGCATGCATGAGCACCACCTGCATGTTCGGTACCTGTGAAGGTCAGAAGAGGGCACTGGGCCCCCCTGGAACTGGAGTTACAGATGGTTGTGAGCCCTGATGTGGGCTCTGAGACCTGAACTGGGGTCTTCTGTAAGAGCAGGCGGTGCTCTTAGCCACTGAGCCATCCTCCAGCCCCGAGGGTACGTTTTAATTTATGTATGTGACTTACCTATGTGTCTCTGTGTGGGCGTGTGACTGCAGGAGGTCACGGCCCTACAGCTGGTGTTATAGTTAGCTAGCTGTGAGCTGCTCAGTGGGTGCTAGAAACTAAACTCCGGTCCCCTGAAGGCCAGTCTGCATTTTAACCACTGGGCCATCTCTCCAGCTTTAACTCTATTTTTGATTTTTCGGGACAGGGTTTCTCTGTGTAGTCCTGGCTGTCCTGGAACTTACTCTGTAGACCAGGCTGGCCTCAAACTCAGAGATCCCCCTGCCTCCGCTTACTGAGTGCTGGGATTAAAGGCATGTGCCGCCACCTTCTGGCTCCTAAATTGGTGCTTTAAAAATATTTTTTCCAATATATTTATCTTGTGGGGGAAGAGATGTTCCTGCCAAGGTGTGTATGTGGAGGTCACTTACTGGAGCTGGTTCTCACCTGAGAGCAAACTCAGGTCACCAGGCTTGGCAGTGTCTTTGTGCACTAACCCATCTCCCTGATCTGCCTCTGAGTTTTGACACTAATCTAATCTCATGAAACCATCATCACATGACACCAAGAACGACCGTGGTTGCCTGTTCAGAAATTTCCTTGGGTTCTTTGTAATACATGCCTCCTTTTACATGGTACTGGGGCTTGAACTCCTGCTTTTATATCAAACACTTTACTAACTGACTTATCTTCGCACCTTTGATTTTGTGTTTGCTTGTTTGTTTGTTTGTTTGTTTGTTTGTTTGTTTGAGACAGGGTCTCTCTATGTAGCCCTGGATGTCCTGGAACTTGCCATGTAGACCATGCTGGTCTCTAACTCACAGAGATCTACCTGGCTCTGCCTCCCAAACGCTGAGATTAAAGCTGTGTGTCACCACTGCCCAGCTCTAGACTCTATTCTTGCTTTTTTGTTTTTTCAAATAGGGTCTCAATATGTAGCTCAAGTTGGCCTTGAACTTGTGGGCCTCCTGCATCAGCCTCACAAATGCTGAGACTAAAGGCTTGTGGCACCATGCCGGGTCATTTTAAGCATTTTATATAAAAAGTACAGTACAGCATCTTTTTTTTTTTCCCAGCTTACTGTTTCTGAGATCCATCCAGACGGCTCAGTCTGCTTCAGGTCAACAGTTCCTTTTTGTTACTGGGTAGTTTTCTGTCATGCGTATCTGCTTATCTAACGGCATAGTAAGACTCCAGTGGGTGGATTCAAGGTAGGACGGCTACGAACATTTGCAATTAACTTATAATTAAAAGAAACTCCTTGCACAGTGCCTAGACTGTAGTGCAGTTCCAGGACAGCCAGGGCCACACAGAGAAACCCTGTCTCAAAACAAACCTAAATAAATAAATAGAACTCAGTTTCCAGCACAAACATGGTGGTTCACAGCCATCTGTAACTCCAGTTCCTGGGGATGGAACACTCTTCTGGTCTCCTCAGGTACCAGGCATGTCGTGCAGAGACATACACCTATTTGGGCAAAATTCCCATACACGTAGAATAAAAATAAATATAGCCAGGCACGGTGGTGCACACCTGTGATCCCAGCACTCAGGGAGGCAGAGGCAGTACTTTCCAAGTTCAAGACCAGCCTGGTCTACAAATTGGGTCCAGGACAGCCAAGGCTACACAAATAAACCCTGTTTTGAAAAAATAAAATAAAATAAAGACAAAAAAACCCAAAGAACAAATGAAGTAGAAAGCAGGATGAAGAGAGGAAGAAGGAAGCCTAGAGTTGAAAGTCTGTCTGCCAGGTCCTAAACACACCTTCATCCCATTTTAGCCTTCTCCTTCTTGGTACCTGCCTCCTAGGAGCCAGCCCTGTCACCTCTCCGAGTTTTGGCTAAGCTCAAGTTTAGTATCTAGAAGCCAACCCTGGCTATCTTGAGATTTTCTCCCCCTGTGGAACACGCACTATGTCCAGTGTGTACCTCGCCTGGTTCCAGCTACCAACCTCCCCATGCCAGGACCTGGACCACGTCCTGTGAGCCTGCCCTCTGGTAGCCCTTAGCCTCCCTTAGCACTGAGGCTCACTGTGTTTCCAGAATGGCCCTCGGACCAGGCGGGGTGCACATGAAGTTGGAGGCATAGAGGCCATGCTTGATGTTAACGAAAGGCTTCCTATGTGCCAGGGACACTTCTAAGCCCTGACCCCTGACCTCTGACCTGCACTGACTTCTCATGAGGAGATGGGAAGGAGAGTGTTTGCCTTATCATACACAAGGCTTAGATGGCCTGTCCCAGCACTGTACAAACCCGGGGTGCTAGTTCACAGCCAGAATCTCAGCTCTTGGGAGGCACAGAGGTGAGAAGAACAGAGGTTCAAGGTCACTCCCAGTTCCAGTTTGAGGCAGGCATGCTGTGTATAAGACCCTGTCTCAAAATCAAAGACACAAAACACCCTCCTCTCAGAAGGCCCCTGGGAAGTGGGTCCTTTTACTGTACCACTTCTACAGAGTGACAGCCTATTTCACAGAAGAGGAAGCCAAGAAAGAAACTATGTGAAGAGTTGGTCTGGGACAAACACTGGGCTTGGAGCATCACATACCATATCCAGACACAGATCTGCCAATATGTACACAGACACGGAATACCGACACGCGTGTGAGGAGTCACAGACTGGTTGGCACATACTGACAGCCAGTTCTCAAGGAGAAAACCCGTCTCACAGCATTTGCTAGTTTCTGGGTATAAACACTCAGTGATGAATCTCAAACTGCCAGCATGCTGTTCCTGAACTGGGTTTTCCTGAAAACTCCAGTCAGGATGAAATCATTTGCAGTTCACCACTGAGTACAGGTTTCCAGGTAACTGGGTCACACTGGAGGGTAACATCCATGAGCCCATGTTTTCAGGTGGGCTCATAAAGCTGTATGCCAATCTTGCATCTCTCATAGCATGGCTAACAGCCTCTCTGGTGCAGCCATGGAGCAGTGAGGAGGCAGCCCAAGACCCCCCTGTGTCTGTTTGGCTCTTCATGATGATGTCTGAAGGTATCAAAGAGGCTGTCTGTGTGAAGCCGTGTTGTCAACTTTTGGGGTATCTCTCCGCTTTAATGCGAACTGTCAGAGTACTGCACACAAGCACGTGCGTGGGTGTGGGTGTGGGTGTGGGTGTGTGTGTCATGCCTGTCCTGTTAGGGTCAGGAGCACAGCTCATGCAGTCAAGTAGGAGGTGCTCAGTAGGTAGCATTTGTGTGGCCCTGTTGATGTGTCCTCTCGTTCGAGAACAGCCGTGACAGCTGACGCGTGTTCGTCTCCTGTAAGCTGTTTAGCTGGTGCGTGTTCAGAGTGTCTGACGCAGCCCCAACTCACTGAATAAACAAACTCCAGCCCCGAGCTGCAACGTGGAGGATCTGCCTTACTGCAGGAAGTATGCCTTCTTGGACTCACCACCCCTGGGCGGGCCCACTTTCACTCGGTGCAGGCCCGCCTTCCTCAGGCAGAAGGCCAGCAGAGCTCTGTGCCTACCCAAACCCTGCCGGAGTTCAGGCGCAGACTCCAGACAGTCGACTCTACACCAGCTCTGCCCTGGAAGGAGCCTGTCTGTGGCCAAAGGTGCAGCTTTCCTGGAGACCGCCCTGCTTCTTCCTTGGGACTCCCATCCCCAAGAGACATCGTTTCCTCTTCCCGTTTCACAGAAGAGGAAACTGAGGTTCAAAGAAGGAGCGTGGACTAGCTGGCGGAGGACTGTAAAAGGACTGAGAGGGAAGCCATAGCAGGCTCCTTAACCTTTCCAACCTGGCCGTCTCCGGGAGCCTCCTGAGGTTCCTCCCAGCCCCTAATCCTTCTCACCCGGAAACCCAGGCTTTCTTTACTGGCCAAGTCTGGGGTGACCAAGAGGTTAGGCTCAGACAACACCTGTCTACCGGAACTACCAGCGAGTTCCCCGGCTTCTTACCTGGGTTCTGCTCTCTCCAGCTGCGGGGAGTGTCCCGTGACTTTGAGGGAAGCCCAGGGCAACTCGGTGGAAGCCCTGAAGCCTCGCAGGTGTGAGGCATCTTTCCACACCCCCTCCAGCCACGCAAAAGCAAGCCTCACTCATCTCACTGACCAGCCTCAGACCTGCCACCGGCTTTGCACACCTGTCCCACTCCTCAGCCCCGGAGACGCTCTTCCCTCAGGCAATCAGTCTCACAGACGAGGAAACCTGGGCTCTCAACCGCTGTACCAGCAACCATCACATCTCTCCTTGCTACCCGGCAACTACTGCAGGATTTCCTGGGTCTGAAACCTCTCCGAAGACCCCAGCATTTCCAACTTTCCTGGGATGTTACTAGCAATGCAGGTCCTGGTGCAACGCAATGCTAGAAACTCTGCCAGAGCTGAAAAGGACCCCACGGCACATCAGCATGAAGGCCTTGGCCACCGGGTCTGTCCGTCTTCTGCCTTTCAGTCCACGCCCTCCAGAATTGGCACAAGCCAGCCCAGAGGCAAAGATCGCTAGGTAGATCAAACATTAACTCTCCTTCTGGCTCTCCTCCTGCGCTGCTGGGTCCGAGAGCTCAGGGACCCTCTCACAGGGCTGCGGACCCTCCTCCCAGCACAGTCCCCTTCACCTTCGCGCACCTCCCCCCCCCCGCCCCCCTCCCTGCTGGGGCAGCCCAGGCCTCATCCTTTTCTTCCCCCGCCCGCACCTGTTCACCCCCGCTAGCCAGGGCTCCGTCCTGCGGCCAAGGAAAAAGTTGCAAACAAGCTCCTGGCACCCCAGCCACGGCCCTCTGCCCGGGTCTAGCAGCCCACTCCCCGGGGGGTGCAGACGCCCCCTTCTCAGCCCGAGTTTCTCCGACCTTTTCCGAGTCAACCCAGAGTTTGTCCCTCCAGTTCCCGCCGTGGTGCCTCCAGCTCCCCAGGCCCTGCTCACACCCCGAGCCCCGGGACTCCCAAAGTCCTTCTTCCCAGGGTTCGTGTGTGTCTCTCTCTCCTCGCCACGAGCGCACCGGACCGGTCCACACTGAGCTGCACCAGCCGCGCCTGGGGGAGCCTGCATGATCCCCTCCAGACCTGGCCACGCACATGCCCACCCTAAATGCCCCGCGGGTAGCTCGGGGGGGACTCCCCGGCTTGGCGGCCAGCCGGCCGCCTCGGGTCCTGGGTCCCGCGCGCTTCCTTCGGGCACACGGCCGGCACGCCCACCAAGCCCGCCCGCGGCCGGCCGAGGCGCGCCTCCGTGGCCCGGGGGGCTGCGGTGCAGACTGCAGCCTCACCGTCTTCTTGCGGGCCACCATCTTCTCCAGCTTTTTGGCGATCCTCAGCAGCTCTTCTTCCAGGCCCATGTTGGTCCACGGCGCCCCGCGGGGTTAGGGGCGCGGGGCAGGAGCGAGCGCCGAGGCGCGAGCGGCACGGGCCGCAAACACATCCGACACTCAAGCCCGGCGGGGGCGGGGCGCGCCCCTCCCAGCACTGGGGGATGGGTGGCGGCCACTAAATATAGACTTCAAGGACTGCCCGGGCAAAGATTGCCTGGGCCTGGCGGGTCGCGCCTCTGGAGGAAGGACCAAGCTGGGAGAAGGGGCTTTTCTCCTCCGCCCCTTCTAGGGGGGTGCCCCGAGCTGCAGGGAGATTTAGGCGTGAGGGTTCCGCGGGGTTGTCAGCGCAGTGCAACTCTGGGAAGTTCTGAGCTGCTGGGTCTCGCCATCGCTGCGCTCCCGGGGGGGAGGGTTTGGCTTCGTGGCTATGCCCAGGCCGGGAAAAGTTGGTGCATTCATCAGATCCTGAAGTCAGCTCAGCCCTAACTTAGGCGCCTCCGTGTGCCCAAGGCTTGCGGTGTGCACGCGCCTCCGGAGGAATGCTCCGAGCCGGTTGCCTGCCAGTCTACTTTATTGTTTTTCTAACCAGCTCTCAAAGCGCTGCGGTGCGGCCAGTACCTGGGCCACGCTCTGACCGGCTAAGGCTAGGCTTTGGCTGGTTCTTCGGCGGTGCACGGGGGTGGGTTGGGGGGTGGTGGGATTGGAAGAGTAGTTTTGGGTGAATTGAGTAAGTGTGCCTCCCCCTTTCAGCTCTGCACACATCTGCTCTTGGGTGGAACATCTTCCAAGAATCCTCTGTGGACCGAGTTCTGACAGAAAATGGCCCTTCTGGAAGGTCTCTGATCTGGAGGAGGGCAGAAGAGGGCCCACGGTGTGAGGGTTGGGGAACTGTTTACACCAGCTTTCTGAAATAACCTCAGAGAACCAGCTCTGGACCAGAGGCCTAGGCAATCCCGCCTGCTGTGGACGCCTGTTTGCCCACTCTGTTGATGACAGTCAAGGATTTTTTTTTTTTTTCATTCAACAAACATATCTAATATCTAATCAACAAGCAGGAAAGACCTCAGGGCAGCAGGCTGGGCGAGATAGCCATTAAAGAGGACTGTATGCCTCCCAGCTGGGGTGGGGAAAAGAGAGAGAGGGCACTTAGAAGGCCCAGCTGGGGGTCATCCCCTCTCAAGAAGTGAAATTTGTTGCAAAGTAAATTCAAAGGGCAAAGTGGGAGTTTGGTGGAGGAGGGAAGGGAGCATGTCTGTGTAATCAAGGAGGCAGCACGTGTTTGTTCTATTCACTGAGCACCTACTGTGTTCCAGGCATTTCTGGCATCCAGAAAGGAGCAAGACAGCAGCCCATCTGGAGCACTCATTGCCCAAAGCTTGGGCAAGGGAGGGTTCCTGGCATGTCAGCAGTAGAGGAACTGAAAAGTTGGTATCTGTAGCACAGAGAGTGGAGAGGGTGGGCAGGGGAAGTGTGGGGCCATAGCACCTAGTCAACAAAGCCAGGCTTTAAAAAAAAAAAATTTAATGTAGATGAATGCTGCATCTGTCATAGAGCCTGCCTAGAGATGGTTGTGAGCCACCATGCAGGTGTGAGGAACTGAACTCCGGACCTCTGGAAGATCACGTAGCGCTCTTACCCTCTGAGCCATCTCTCCAGCCCCCACCAGGTTTTTCTTGATTGGAGCTTCTGGGAGGCCATTTGGCCAACAATTGTGAAGGGCCCTAAGAAACCATGTCCAGTCTTACGAAAATGGGAAGGCTGAGTTTGTGGAGCTGGGACCCCTCAGCGATAGCCTCCCGGAATGCAGCCAGCACTTCTGGTACCCATTACATCCCCTCTGCCCATCCCCTCTGCACCTGGTCACCTGCATACAATCATGACACACAGCTGCCACTTGGCGTGTCTCCCTGTGAGCTTTGGGGGCAGGCAGGGAACTGATATCCCCAGAGGGGCCCAGCATCGGTGGTGAACGCCCCGTTCTTTACTGTAAAAGGAACAGACTGAAGATATTTCCTGACTTGCTATGCTCCTGCCTCGGCCTTCAGACTGCTGGAATTACAGATGTGTGCCACCTTTGTGCTTTTGTGTGGACGTGTGTGGGTGCACATGGCAGCCAGAGACTGATGGGCGCTTTTCTCAGGTGCCAGCCAACTGCTTTCTTGAGGCAGGGTCTCTCACTGAATCTGGAGCTGGCCAGCAAGCCCCAGGGATCCTCCAGCGTCCGATTCCACAGAGCCAGGAGCACACTGCATGCCTGGCTTTTTGCATGCGTCCTGTAGATCCGAACTCACGTCAGGCTTGTGCAGCAAGCATTTTCCCAACAGCTTTCTCCTTACCCGCCTTTACTGCTTGCTGGCCTCCTGTTTCATTTCTCCCCTTGTTATGCTTCCAGGGGTCACCTCACAAACTACTCTGCCCATCAATCTCAGGACAATCACGAGGGGCTGTGGTAGGGACTATGGGAGAGTCAAACATGGCTCTAATCCAGTGTGCTTTCCTGCACGTCAGGGGTTCTGAGCCTTGACAGGGTTTGGATTGGCTAATTCATTGCTGTGGGGATGGCTATTGCCCTGTGGCTATGGTTTGAGTGCGTTTTCTTGGTTCCTGGTGTGGCAAAGTCGAATGGTGACCGCCTTTGAGGGGTGGAGCCTAGTGGGAGGCAGTTATGTCACAGGGGCACTGCCCCGGAAGGAGTGAGTTCTGACAAAGGTGACTTGCTAACAAAGCACACTGAGAGCACTCCGCACAGGTGCTTGCTTTCCACCTCTCTGCGATGTTGTGATGGAGTCGGGTCCTTTCAGTTTGTGGCATGCTATTTGGACTTTCCAATCACCAGAACCCTATACCAAATCAAACTCTTTACTGCAGAAAGTGCCCCAACCTTCAGCATTCCTTTACAGCGACGCAAAGCAGACCAGGAGACACTGTGCTGGAGGACCACTCACCAGCACCCTCACCTCAGGGATGCGCCCTCCAGTCGGAACGGTTTGCCATACCAAACGTCTCCCGGGGCAAAATTCCCTGCTGTACTCTGACCACTACTCGTTACCAGCCATGGCCCTTGCCAGGCTCAGGGAAAGAATCCCAGGTCCTGAGAGTCTTTCATTTCCCTATATCTCTTTAGAACCCACAAATGAAACCAGGGGGATTCGTCCCTCCCCCAAGAACCCTTTATTAGGAGATGAGTAAGATAAGCAGTCTGAGATGAACAAAAGCTGACCCTCGGGGCTCAGAAGCAACCCTGCTTCTTTAGGACCAGGGAACAGCCCAGCCTCCAGGGTGACCAGCTCAACTCCTAGCCAGACTGGGTGCCCTCTGGTCTCCCCTGTTTGACTTGGCCCACTCCTTCAGGACCCAGCACCAAGTGGCTGTGAAACAGAGCTGCCCGTGGTTACTGATAGTCCAGCTTTGCAACTGGGGCTGAGCAGTGGTGGCATTTCTGGCACTGGAAAGCCGACTCTTGAAGTTTCTCTTATCTTTCCAACTCCTTTCTCCTCTCTCAGTCCCTCACTTCCCCCAGGCTTCGGATTTGATCAGGAGAAAAGGGAGAGAAGCAGGGTCAAGTCACCCCAGACCATTCCTTTCCTTTCTGTCGCATCAAGGCAGATAGCGAGGCAGGGAGCGTGGTGCAGACCCCAGGGAGGGCAGGGTGCCCCTCTGCAGGAGGCTTCCAGAGTACTTTAGCCTGTGCAGCACAGGCCTGGGCCAACTAGAACTGGCCTGTAACAACCGAAATGATCTGGCGGGGGACCAGCTCATGCCGGTCCTGCCCCTGAGCTCAGAGCCGGCCTCTGCAACCTGGCTCTGCTCATTTTCCGAGTCAGTTCTGGGGACCGGCTTTCTGGCGAGGAACCACACCCGCATGACGCGTGTCTTATTCATGTGGCAGCCATAGTACCTAGCAAAGGGCTGGATATTAAGCTGTAATTAATGGCCACAAGACAGTGCCTGGGAGTGAATGATGGCAAGCGGGTCCCACCCTGGCAGGGAAAAACACAGTGCGGGTGTGGTAAGGATTGAGGGCTGTGTAACTTAACCCAGGCCAGCCATTCTCAGATCTAACTCCAGAGCTGCCTGGCCCAGGACATCAGCCCCAACACAGAGGGGCCAGTGTCCTTGGCAGGGCCGTGGTTCCCATAAGGAAGGTGGGCTCCCAGATCTGTGGGCTCAAGCCCCAGCTGTGAATGTCTAGCTCCAGCGTGGGCCATGCAGAGGGGTCAGCAAGGAGCTAGTTGTGCAAAAGTTGCAGGGAACTTGCCGGGAGGACCCCAGACTTCGACCCATCTCCTTCCATGAGGCCAACCTGTGAAGAGAAGGATGAAGCTGGCATCTTTTCTGGGAATCGGCTATGGGTGAGCTTCGCTCAGCTTCACACAGTCCTGGGCTAGAGCAGGCAGGTGACAACAGGCTTAACCTTGGCCAAGTGTGGCCTCCACGGAGCGAGGTCTCCCTCCCCTCTCTGCCTGCTCTTGACCAACTCTACAGCCCAGGCACCACATTTCAAACCACACGCCAGCACTCCTACCAGAATGTTTCTTTTAGACAGTGGCTGCCGGGCTGAGGGACCATCTTCCAGATTCCGGCCTCCCCGTCTGTAGGAGCGAGTGCTCTCTGAGCTGGAAGGCAGGGGTAGCTGATGTCATCCGGCTGCCCGGAGCACAGGTGGACAAACAAGGTTGGGGGTAATGAAGGGGAACCAGAGTCCATCAGGCCCCTAGGCTGGGTCTTGAGAGACCCTGGAGGTCTGGAACTGACCTCCCCAGAGGGCTCTGAGGTGTTCCTAAGTCCAGTTCTCCCCAAACTTAAGTCTAGACAAAAAGGGTTTACAGAGAAGGGAGAGAGTTGGATCTTGGGTTGCAGCTGGGGACGAGTGAAGACTTCCCAGAGCCCTTAAGAAGGATCCATGCATGTGGGGGCAAAGCCTTTTCCCCTCCCACCAACCTCAGCAGCCCAAGCCCCAGGCTCCTCCTTGGCTCTCCTGGCCAGACCTGAAAGCAATTAGGTGGAAGAGGAAAAGGTAAGGTACCCTCCACCCAGGTCTAGCCTACAACTTGGCACCTAGAGTGAGTCTATGACCCAGGCCTCAGACAGGTAGTGTTCAGGTCGGGAAGTTAGCAAGTGCTCAGAGAGCCAGGAGACGTGCTGGGTGGCAGAGCCAGGCCTCTACCAACCTGAACTTGACGGGGAGATACACCTCAGCAGGGGTGGTTCCAGGGGCCAGCCTAGGGTGGGAGGCGCATGGTAGCTCCTGGAGGCTTTCTTCAGGGTTAGATGGGGCTTGGCTCAGCCCTCCAGGTTCCGCAGAACTGGTGAGGCTGGAAGAGGAAGATGCTGGGCTGCTCGGGTTCTCTGAGGCCTCAGGAGACTCTGACCTCAGGCTGGGAATGTCAGAACGATCTAGAACCACAAAGTGACAATGCTTGTTTTGAGTTGTTCCCCTGCAATTAGAAAATGGAAGCCCATGGTGGTGGGGCACGCTTTTACTTCCAGCTTTCTGGAGGCAGAGGCAGAGTCAGGTGGCTCTCTGGGAAGTCAAGGCCAGTCTGGTCGACAAAGTGAGTCCCAGAACAGCCAGGGCTACACAGAGAAACTCTGTTTTGCAAAACTATAACAAACAAACAAACAAACACATGCTGGGCTGCTGAGATAGACGGCTCAGCTGTTAAGAGCACTGGCTGCTCTTCCAGAGGTCCTGAGTTCAATTCCCAGCAACCGCATGGTGGCTTATGACTTATGAAGGGATCTGATGCCCTCTTCTGGCATGCAGGTGTACATGCAGACAGAGCACTCAGACGGTCAATTAATTAGCCAATTAATTAATTAATTAAAGAAGAAAAAAAAAAAGAGAGTAGAAATGCTTCCCTCTTTGTCCAATGTCAAAGCAGACTTACGGGATCCCTCATGAGTTCTTCCCGATTTTTCCAGCCCCTCCATCACCCCAGCACTCTAGTACAGTCATGTGGTCACCCCCACCAAACATGATGGCTTGTGCTGTTTCTGTTCCCCCCCCCCCCCCAAGCTCAGCTTAGGCACCACCTCCTTCAGAGAGTCCTCCCAACCCACTGCCAGCTCCAACAGGACCTGCCCCTCCCTTTCTCCCCCTCTCTCTGTGGCCTCCCAGAACAAGCTCCATTCATCCAACACAGTGCAAGCGCACAGCCGGACTCTACCCAGAGCTGCACGGAGCAGTCTGCAGAGGACGGAAACTGGGCCTCCTGGAATGGATTAAACACTCTTCAGTGGGCGGAGCGCCTGTACCACCTCCAACTGCCTCCCAGCCTTTATCTCCTCACTAGTGTGCAGGGCAAGCTCCTCGGATACTTGTCCTTTGGCTTAAGTGCGGCACTGAAGAGTCTGAGCCAGACAGACCTGGCCTGGAATCTCGCAACGGAAGCTTAAAAAACTGTGGCAGCTTAGGCATGGCCCTGAACCGGAAGGAGAGGATGGCAGCCCCGACAGAACTCGGAGGGCAGGATGGGCTTGCCACTGTTCGCTCTTTGCTGTGTTCAGACAGGGTCTCGAGGAACCTAGGCTGGCCTTGAGCTCAGGATATACGGCCTTGAACTCCTGGTCTTCCTGCCTCCACCTCCTGAGAGCTGGAATAACAGGCATGAGCCGCTACATTTAGCTCTGCCATGCCCTCCCAGCTCAGTGCCCTCCACAGCACTCCCTCAATAAATGGCTCGATCATGGTACTCCTGGGCAGCCAACTATACCTCCACTGGAGTGTCCTGCTGGCCCTGGGAGTATGGTCCGAGAAGAGTTTTTGATGGGCAGGGGTGGCGGACTGTCCCCAATCTGGTTCTGACAGGTGGCTGGTCCCTGGCTAGCAACGGTCTCATAGGTCTTGTTGCTGATGTCCAGCCTCCCACTGCCACAGCAGGCCTGCGCTGGGGGCTTTACAGGGCAGTGCTGTGGGGACAAGGCCATCTTGGTTTCCACAGCTCAGCCAGCCCCTTCCCACGCCGGGCCCAATATGGCTCTTGTCCGGTGCCGTCCGGAAAGGAAGGGGCTGAGCCTACCTTCTCGTCCTCATCCTCCTCACTGTCAAAGCCATGCTCCGTGGAATGTCCCCAAGGGTAGTCCATGTGGAGAGGGAAGGTGAGGGTCCCTGCTTGTGCCTGCTCCAGCTGCCAAAACCAAAGGCTCACCATGTCAGAGGGCTATCGGGGATGAAGAGGGGTCAGAGGTCAGCCTCCACCTTCACACTCACCAGCTCTTCACATTCCTTGTGCTGTTTCCTCCTGGCTATGTCCAGAGCTGTCTCTCCAGCATCATTTACTGTGGAGGGCAAGTCCAGGGGTCATGGTCAGAATCAAGGAGACATTACAGCACAGAGGTCAATATGGGCCTTGGACTCGGACTGTCTGGGTATGAAAACTGTCTCTGTGACTTCCTGGGTGGCCTTAGGTGACCTACTTAGTCTCACTGGATCCTAATCATCTCATCTATAAGGTGAATGCGATACTTGAAACTACCTGTCCAGGCTTGGAGGATTCACAGTACAGGTCACTTATCAAGGGACCAGACCCCACGTAACAGTTACATCACTAGAGCCCAGATTCTGCTGGGATTTTTCTTCATCGCTCCATCCCCACCTTTCGGTGGGCTCGCCAGCTCTGTGAAACTCCCGTTTTACAGGCGAGGAAGCTGAGGCTCTAGAGATGAATGGCACCCCCAGCCCACCCCGGGGCCACTGAGGAGGGAAGGAGCAAGCCAGGAGGAGGCGCCAGGCCGCACCTGCTCCCACGGGGGCTCTCCCTGTCAGCAGCAGCTTGAGGCAGTCCAGCTTGCCGTGGAGTGCAGCACAGTGCAGGGCGGTGTTTCCATCTGCAGCCTTGGCATCCAGGTGGCCGCTACGAGGAGGGGGGTGCAGGGAGGTTCCAGGAGGGGAACAGGCGGCCAAGAGACCGGGGGGGGGGATCAAAGTCCCAGGGAAATGGGGATGAGAGGGGAATGGGGGGGAACAGTGGGGTTGCTGCTGGCAGAGGGGTTCTCACCCATTGTGAATGAGGAAGTCCACCAGGGGCAGGGAAGCCTGGCAGGCGACGCTGATGGCCAAGTGCAGGGCGGGCTCTCCAGGTGCCTGAACACACACAAACACACACACGCCTGAGTTCCCCGTCACCTGGGCTCAGTCCAGTGCTGCCCTCATGAACCCTTGTTGCCCCAACATCTCTGAATATGAAGTGGTCAGAAACCCCAAGAGATGAGACCATCTGAAGAGACCCTCACATCAGGGAGGCGTGACAAGGCTCAGGATGGCCTCTATGGTTCCTCCTCAGCCCTAGGAGAAGGCGTTCCCAAACCATCACCTGTCTGGAGCTCCGCCGCCTTCTCCCATTTCCTCACTGAGGTCTCTTTGGCCTCCTGCTTTCTAGTGTGCCCACGGGGCCCACCTTACCCAAGTGCTTTGAGCCAGCTTCCTGCCTCACTCAAGCGCTATGCCCTCACTGCCCACTGGGGGGCCTGTGAAGATTTCAGTTGTACGGTTCAGTGACATCCTGCTCTGTCTCCTCCAGGGCCAGGTGCCAATGCAGGGCCTCACAGGCTAAGTGCACTGTGCTCCATCGCTGAGCTATTCCCCCAGCCGGTGACATGCAGTTGTTTTGTTTTTTAAAGACTGCCTTCTCTCCCCCACCCCCTCTTTTGTCTAATCCCATGTTGCATGGGTGTTTTGCCTGCATGTCTGTACCCACAGATGCCAGAAGAGGGCATTGGATCCCCTGGACCTGGAGTTACAGACAGTTGTAAGCTTCCATGTGCATTCTGGGAATTGAACCTAGGTCCTCTGGAAGAGCAGCTAGTGCACACATCCAGTTTTAAATGTCTACTCACAGCAACTCTTGCTGACAAAATCCTTCCTCCCTCATGACTGTATCACCAAAGTAGTGGCTTTCACCACTCTAATCAGACCTGGCCTTCCCCCCTCCCATCCCCTTCCAGGACTTTATAGACAAGGAAATGAGACTCAGAGAAATTAGGTAACTGCCCTGGGTCACACAGCTAGAAAAAAAGACACAGCCAGGATTTGAATCCAGGTCTGCTTGGCTGGAATTGTTCTCTTCCCCACTTGGTGTGTGAGATTTGGGCAGACGGTACTAGATAGTGACGGTCCTAGAGGCGGTCTGAGGAATGGGTTAAGTGGCCCTGGGAGGGGCCCTCACCTGCCCATCAGGCCCTGGCAGCAGCTGTCCGAAGTCCTGCCCGTTGGCAAAGGCCTCCAGTACTGACAGAAGGTCCCTGCTGCAGATGGCTGACCGTAGCCTCTGGGGCTCGGGTGTGGCCCGGCGTGCAAACCTGTGCTCTACATACTTGGCTACGATATAGTTCCTGCGGCTGCTCCTACCACGACAAAAGGCAGTCATGGGTCCCCAGTTCTCCCACACAGTAACTTCTGGAACCGCCCTCCCGAAGAATCCGGTTTCCTGGTAACTTTAGGGTCAAAGGGCTCCCTTCTCCCCAGCCTTGTGATCCCAGATCCCTCCTCTCAGACCCTGGGAACTGGGGAGCTGGCCACCCCTGCCCCCAAGACTGTCCTTACATGTCACTCTCAGCAGAGGGTTTAGGGCTGCCATGGGAGGGCAGGTGGGCCTCCATGACTTCATTGAAGCGGGAGTTTCCGATGTTCAAAGCCAGCTGGAGGCACAGGCGCAGTGCGGGTGGCAAGTCAGCGGGGGGAATAAGGTGTTAGGACAGAGCTCCTGGCAAGGCTCAGCCTTCAAAGTTCGGACCCTCCCCACAGTTCCCCAGCCATCGTTGCCCCTACCCAGTTAGCCAAGCTCCATCTCCCAAGCCCCGCCCCACGCCCCTGCTCTCACCAGAAGCTCCGAGGGACCCAGGAGGTCCAAGGTGAGCGATTGTATGCGGGAGTAGCGCACACCCAGCTCGCGGTGGACGCCGGAGCACTGGATGCAGGTGAGCACGCCCAGGTTGGTGCTGAGCCACGTGGGGTCTGCGGAGGAGCGCAGCTGGAGCCCACGGCCCACGGCCCCTTCTCCACGCCTCCCACCAACGCCTCGCCCACCGCTGACCTGCGGCCCCACAGTCGCAGCAGTGGTCGTTCCCGGGCCTGCTCTTCACCTCGGCGAGGAGCATCTTAGTGAGGTCGTGGGGCTCCGCATCCGGTCTGGGGCCCCCCCAAGGCCACTGGCCGCCGCTGGGCTCCCCCTGAAAGGCGCTGCTCAGGGCTTCGTCCTTGCTGTTCTGCAGCACAGACACCCATCTGTGCGGACCAACGGGGCGGGTTGGGGACCGACAGGAGACGGGGTAGGGACCCGGTTCCCCACCCTACCGCTGCTCGCCAGACCCGGCACTCACGCCTCACACTCCAGCTCGTCCTCTGCGTGGAAGTGGTATGTGCGGTTGTCTGTGGGCCAGAGAAGATGGCGTCAGGGCCACAGATCCTGTGGGCCTTCCCCAGGACAAACACACCTGTGTGCCCCTCAGAGAACGTCACCATCTTTGTAAGTCACCTTCAAAGACGGTGCACAGAACCCCCGCCCGGCCCAGCCCTGCCTGGTGAAGCACAGCATGGTCCTCACCTCCAGCCACCCCCACTCCGGTTTCCTCGCTTCCCGCCTCTCTCCCTTCACCCAGTCCTGCCGGCTCCCAGGCTGCTGCGTCTAGGGCTGCACCCTGCTTCCAGACCCTCAAGGGTCCCTACTATCAGAGAACAAGGCTCAAACCTTTACAGCGCAGTTCTAGGCTTTGCTCCTGCGTGAAGACTGGTGTTCGCATAGTCTGTCCTGCTTCCACGCCTTTCACGCTGATAACTCCCCCCCCCCAGCACCCATCCACACACGCAAAGCCAATCTCTGCATCTCTCAAGGCTAAACACAAATGCTCTCTTTCCTCAAACAGCCTTTAATTCCCTCCAGCAGCTCAGCTCTTCTGAGGGCCTCTATGCATACCTCTTTCCTCTGAGCACCCCTTCCCCGCCATCTTAGAATCTTGGATTCCCCTCTCACTCCTAGGAGGGTTCCCTGTCTGGAATGATGGCTCAGCAGTTAAGAGCATCGGCTGCCCTTCCAGAGGACCTGGGTTCAATTCCCGACACTGACATGGCAGTTCACTGCTTTCTGTAGCCCCAGTTCTAGGGACTCCCAGGCAGGCAAAATGGCAATACACATAAAATAAAAATAATCCATTAAGAGGGCTCCCTAAAGACAAGAGCCTATTTTTTTATGAGATAAGATCTCATATAGCCCAGGCTGGCCCATCTCCCTATGTAGCTGAGGATTGCCTTGAACTTCTGATCTCTCTGCGGGATGGTTCTCAGCGCAGAACGCAGAGCTTCATGCATGCAGTATGAGCTACATCCCAGCCTGATTCACCTTCCCCAAAGCCCAGCATTAAAGCCGCCTACCCCCATAGCCACAAAAAAAAGGTAACTCATTTCCCAAAGCCAGACAGGCCGGAGCCATTCAAACATGCTCTGTTTGACCATAGACTTGATATACATAGAAGGTGGGTGTGCTTTCGTGGTCAGTGGGACGGCAGCTGAGACCCTGTAAGGGAGCGAGCCCTGGGAGTCCTGGGCCTGCAGTGCTAGCCTTTGGCTGCTTAGTGTCCCGGATACAGAGCTCTGGCCACAGCCCCTCAGGAGGAGCACGGGGCAATGCGGGGCCTGTGTAGGCTACTCACGGGTCACCAGGTCGAAGCACCTTTTCTCCTCAGGGTTTGGCCTCACTTGGCACGTCAGCAGGGTCAGCTTCACTGGAGGCCGGTTGATCTGTGGGAAACGTGAGGGTGGAGGCCGCCATGTTACCCTCTGGGACTCTGCCTTCCTGTCTATTAAGTCATCTCAAAAGTCCCTCCTGGGAGGGGTGTGGATCCTTTGGATGCCGTCCCTCCTGAGAGGCCTCTCGAATGCTCTGGATCTAAGGTTGGAGGCCCACTCCGCAGGAAGAGCTCGGCTCCTGTCCGCGCAGAACCCCTCAGGGGCCTCACCATGCTGTGTGAGATGGTCAGGCAGCCGTACTTGACCCCACACTTCCTCTTCTGCCAGACTCTTCGAATCCTAAAGCCCAGAAGGACAGAAAAAACAGTGACCAGTGGCCCACGCCTAACTGCCCTGCCTCAGAGGACAGAATGTGTGCCGCCTTCCCGTCCCACCCTCTGTGCCTCGTCACTCCCTGCACCAAGTATGATGGGGAAAAGCCTCACGCTTTGGATTCCTGTTCTAAACGTCACTACAGTGCTGGTACCCTGAGAGCTTCCAGCCTGGTAGAAGAGACACAACCCACAGCAGCGGGTAACCAATCACCTCGGTGGCTTGAATGACAATGACTCACACAGGCCAATGTTTGAACACTTGGTGCCCAGTTGGTAGGACTGTTTGGGAAGGATGAGGAGGTGTGGCCTTGTGGGAGATGGAGGTTTTGAAAGCCTGTGCCCTTCCCCGTTCGCTCTTTTTCTGCTTTGTGCTTATGGGTGAGATGTGAGCGCTCAGCTACGGAAGCCTGCCGGCTGCCGCCAAGTTCTCTTCCACGAAGGTTATAGACCGGCCCTCTGGAACTGTAAACCCCTATAAACCTTTTTTTCCCCTCGGCCATGGCGTCTCTTCACAGCAATAGAAAAATAAGTCAGCTGGTTCTCTCTCTACCCTGTGGGTTCCAGAGACTGAGCTCAAGCATGGCAGCAAGCACCTTCACCCTCTAGGCCATCTCACTGGGCCTTTTTAAGATAAAAAGTTAACACCAGGAAGCAGGGCACAGCCAGTATTTTCATATCTGTGCACATTCAGGATACTGTATAGAGGGCAAGATGAAGGCGTATCAAGTGCTAGATATCAAACTCACAGCAGTCTCCTGCCTCAGCCTCCCAAGTGCTGGCATTAAGGGCATGTGCCACGGCTGGCCTTGGTGCCGCAATTCTGGAAGAATAACCTTTAGGGACCCTTGGCAAAGAGGCACATGCCCAGTCGCCCTCTGATAACTGTCCACTGACAGAGTGGGCGAAACGGTGCGGGGGCTGTGAGAACAGTCATTGAGGCAGCTTCCTAACCTTCATTTCCCAGCTGTGTGTCTTCGGGCAAGTTGCCTAAGCTCTCTGAGTCACTCACCCGTCACTCTTCTTGTACAGGAAGCCCACCTTCTCGGTCCCAAACTGCTTGTTGCCTTGATGCTGGTGGATGCTGTAGCCGCCCCCCGAGTTCTTCCGGTTTGGGTGCTCCTGCCCCTCAGACATGCAAAGGAGACTTCAGGGTATCTGGGAGGGAAGGGCCCCCTGCTGCACTGCTCCCCAGGGTGGGGGATACGGGGGGGGGGGCTTCTCTTTCTCCTTCCCTCCCTCCGTGTGCCAAGGTGTGGCGGCTGGGTCAGCCATCTCTTTTAGGATTACTCAGGGCCTGACCTCTCTGCTCTCCAAATGCAGCGTCCCTCGGAGGGAGTCCCGGAGCTGGGTTAGTTTCTGCAGCTCTTCCTCCTGAGCTTGCCGAAGCTACAAGGCAGAGGACAGGATCCGGGGAGAAGATGTTGCAGGGCAGAGCCTGACCCAGTACACTGGGACAATGTGCCTGACGCCAGCACCCTGGGGCAGTGTCTCACTCTATGACCAGCGAGTCAGCTCTCCACACTCACAGCTTCCCGAAAGGATGGGGGGGTGGGGGGTGACCCCACAAATGAAGGAAAGGCCTGACTTACCCCATGGACGGAGGCTGCCAGCTTGTCGATGAAGGGGGACAGGCTCTGAGCTGCCTTCCAACCATCTTGGAAGAAGCTGAGAGGCCAGAGCAAGGGATCAGGGAGGGATGGAAGTGTGGATGAGGCCAGAAGTTGGAAAAGGTCCCCACAGGGCACCCTTGGGCATGCAGTGGGCCTCAGTTTTCCCATCTATGAAATATGGACAAACGCTGCAGCTGCTGGGTGGCAGGGCGGGGGGATCAATAAGAGCACCATGCCCAATCCTTAGTGCCTGAGCCATGGTGAGTAGTGTATAAAGTGGCAGCTCTGTAGAAAAGTATTGCTCACAATGTCCAGACATACAGAGACCTGGCGGGTCTCAACCCCCCCGAGAGGTGCTTTGTCCTGTTGTCCCAAAGCATTAAGGGTAGAGGCGGGGAGAGACAGGCTTACTTGTGCTGGGCGTGGAAGAACTTGATGAGGCTCTGAAGGAAGTCTGGGCCCTGTTTCACCTGACTCTCTCCAGCTTTGACGAGGTACTGGCAAAGGACAGGACAAGACGTGGGCCAGGATCCAGTGTGAGCTGGATCTGGTGACAGGGGTTTCGGTCCCTACCCCAGGGCTAACCCTCTCAGCCATGACTGAACCTTCGGTACATCCTACAGGCCAGCTGGCCAGCCCTAGGGCCTGCGACCAGAGCCTTGACCATCTGGAAGAGGCAAACAGGAAACACAGGGCACATCCTCCCTGGGGGAAAAGGGGGGATTGCACCTCACCTCACACATGTGCAGCTGGAAGAGCCTTCGCTCCCGCTGTGCATCCTGGGACAGCTCCCCGTGGGTTCCGCCCATGACCCTGGCTCGGTGATCCTTCTCCTTCTCCAGCTTGGCCCTAGGTCATAGAAGAAGAGACACTGAACAAGCCTTGCCAGCCCTAATCCCACCTGCCATCTCTACTACGGATCCATGAGTGTGGAGACAAAGCCCTTCCCTGTGCCATCTGCGTGCTAGGACTGGCAACAACAGAGAGTGAGGGGTTCTGGCGAGTCCAGAGGGTCAGGGAGGAGAAAGACAGAAATCAAATTGAAGCAGTGACAGCAGAGTAAGGCCTGGCCTCGGCATGGCAGCATGAATCCAGAGACATCAGCTCGGAGAAGCTAGGCTTGGGGAGGAGGACCACACCTTGGAATGCCTTGAGGTGGAGGGTTCAGGGAGCTGTGTAGAGATGGACAGGGATGGGACATTGCCTGAGACAACAGCAATGGGGAGACAGGACCACACCAGTTAAGCTCCTGGGTCTTTAAGCTAGAGCAAAGGTTTGAAGATTCTATGCCAGAGGTGATGAAGGCCAGGTGGGACCAAGGGTGATTTATTCTCATTAGCTAGAAGGGACTTAGAAAATGTTCGGGGCCGGGTAGGGGGCAGATGACCACAGAGCCTTGGTTCTCATGAGCCTATGGAGCGTCTTAGTCAAAGCTTTGGAAGCCTGTGGCACACAGGCAGGGAGGCAGCTCTGGAGCAGGGGGCTAGCCTAGTACCCATGAATCTCTGGATCAATCTCCACATCTCCCCTAAGAATGAAAAAACTAGGGCCTCTCCCCTGCACACCCAATAGGTCTCCAGGGATAGCTGGTTTTTCCTCTTTGGGGATGGTAGATCCATTTGTGGATTGTTCCCAAGAAACCCACCCACAGCAGCCAAGGGTATATTTGTATGTCTCAGGCTGAGTTCGGGGATCCATGAGTCCCATATACAAGAGACACTTGCTTAACAGTAATGCTTCCCAGTGAATGTAAGGCCTTTTCCCATTATTCTAGCACAGAGATGTAGAAAAGGAATACTTGTTGAATTTCATTGGAGATAAAAAAAAAAAAAAAGATTTATTTATTTTTCACCTTTTTGAGACTTTTGTGTGTGTGTGTGTGTAGCCCTGGCTGTCCTGGAATTTACTCTGTAGACCAGGCTAGCTCTTAAACTCAGAAGCCTGCCTGCCTCTGCCCCACCCCCACCCCCACCCCCCAAGTGCTGGGATCAAAGGCACATGCCATCACATCTTTGAAATCTTACAAGAAGTTCACTAGAAAAAAATTAGTAAAGGCAGAAGAAGAGGGTCAGATGATCCCCTCAGGAACTCATACAGATAAGGTTAGCCTCTGTCTCTATGCCCTTTTTTGGACCTCTAAAATGAGCAGATGGCCACACCCCATCCCAGACAGGATGAGGCCCTGTGCTCCCAGCTATAAGGGGAAGGGAGGACCAGGACAGGTGTTTGGACTGGGACAGGTGTTTGCAGCTCTAAGAGATGGAGGGGCAATAAATTCTCCAGCATCTGTGTTTTGGAACCTGTCCCAAGGAGGCCATTATGCACAGGAGCAAATATTCAGCTCCCAAGATGCTCCCGCCATGACAGGGCAGGTTAAACACACTGCGGAATGTGTGTGTCGACGCACCCTGCTTGAGCTAACTGCTGCCGAGAATATGTCCTAATGCAGAAAGATGGGTCACAATTTTCTTTTTTATTTTTTGAGACAGGGTCTCATGCATCCCAGACTAGCCTTACAACTCTCTGAGTAGGGGTGGGAAACCTGAACTTCCTGCCCTCCTGCCTTCTCTCCCTGGGTACTGGAATTACAGGTCTGTGCCACCTCCACACCCAGGAATACTCTGCTGGGAACTGGACCCAGGGCATTGAGTGCAATGGGCAAACACTCTCTCTACACCCTGAACTACATCCCTAGCCCTTTTTGTTGTTTGTTTACTTGCTCTTGAGACAGGCTAGCCCTGGCTAGCCTGGAACTCACTATGTGGACCAGGCTGGCCTCATAGAGATCCACCTGCCTCTGCCTCCTGATGAAAGGCATGGGCCACGAGGCTCAGTTTTTATGTTTTCATTTTGAGGCAGGGTCTCTCTATGTCCCAGGCTGGCTTCAAAGTTGCAATCCTCCTGCCTCACCCTCCCAAGTACGACCATTATAGGCATTATAACCAGGTCCAGCTCCATATTGTGTAAATAGCAGATTACACAAGAACTTTGATCTCAGTCTCGTCAACATTTTTCACAATGTATAGAAGAAAAATACTACTGTCTCATTCCTGCAGATTAAAGCTTTTTCTCCTAGGCTGTGTGGCCCTGAGCTAACAACTCAGATCCTCTGAGCCTCTGGACACTAAAACCTCCCTCTTGGGACTGAATGATCTGGAGGATGCAATGTCCCTGTCCACGGGGGCATCAAGAGGCCAGGTCATTGTGGGAAGCATCCCATGGTCCTTTCAAAATGGCTCCCTTAGGTGGCCTTGCAGCACAGCGCCCAGAACCCAGCCAGGCCTGGCCAAGGCTCCCAAGAGCCAGACACCCTGAGTGTCACATCCCAAAGTCAGCACCCTTCTCCATCACAAACATGCTCTCCTGAAGGCCACCCTTCCAAGGTCACTTACACTTTGGCTTCATAGTCTTTCCACGCCTTCTCCAGATGCTTTTTGGAATCCTGGGGTTGAGGAAAGCACAAGTCGACCAAAGGGAAACACGAGCCTAGAGTAAGCAGGCCACGCTGCTACCTTCTGGGGACCCACTCTTGAGTTATGCTATCTGACACTGTTCTCCAACTGACACTAACACATGGGACAACTCCCTTCCTGTGGCCCAGCCCACCCCAGCCTCTTCCCAGAGTTGCCAAGAACCAGTCAGGTACGGTGGGCTCTAGGCTGGGATGTAGCCAGCCTCTGAGTCTTGTCATGGGCCATGCAGGATGCTGGCAGGAAGATGAAGCTCAAACACCACCCCTATTTTATCCTACCGATATCTCCTGCTTGATATGAGACCACTCTCTCACTAGGGAGGGTATGAACGCACAGAACAGACTGGTTGAGAAGTCTCCCTAAGGCCACGAAGCAAACCAAAAAGACATAGCTGACACCTGGCCTGGCTTGCCTGGGCTGGATACCTGAACCTTAATCAGCCCAGCTATCCACACCCTTCTGGACAGCCTCAACTTCTTCTGAGGAAAAAAAAAAAGCCACCTGTCTGGTTTGGGAGGTTCCCAGGCCGGTGTCACTCAGCTGAGGACAATTCCTTCTCCCCACCCCCATGCTTTGTGGGGCAGACCTCCCAAGGAGGTGACTCTGCCACAGTCCTTTCATGGGACCTCTGCATGGACCCAGCACTGCCGGGTGCAGAGGAGCAAGACACTGTGGATCCTGGGCCCGTACCCTGAGCCTTCCATGTACCCGCACTGGGACACATGTGTGGCTCACCTATCCTTTAGCTGGTAGAGGTGAGGAAGCAGAGCTGCAAGCCAAAATCTACCCATGGCGTGGAAGCCAGGCCCTCCAGCTGACCCAGGGGCAGTCGGAGGCAGTACTCCTGCAGGGACTGACCCACGCATGGTCTCTCCTCCTGCCTAGCCCTGGATGCAGTCCTCCCCACCCCAGCAGGCCCTTCTCTTCCACACAGACACTCACATGCCGCCCATCCCTTAGCTGCCCCTTCATCAGGCTGTCCAGTGGGAAGGAGATGATGTTGTTCAGGTTCTGCACCTGCAAAGAGCAGAGCCCCCACCCCACGAGGATCAGGATCCAGGGAGTACCAGGAGGTGATGGAGAGCCTCCGGAGTGTAAGAGGCAGGGAGGGGAGGAGATGAAGGAGCAGAGGAGGACAGGGGTGCTGCGCTCAGTGCCCTCCCTGGGCTGCTCCAGCCCTGCATGGGACTCCTCCTGCCCTGCTGCAGGACCGCCTTTGTTCCTGGGTACAGAGAGAAGCGATGCAGGAAAGAGGGATGGGGAAGGTGAGGGACAGGGACAGCTGATCCCAGCATTCCGAAGGCTGAGGCAGGAGTGGGACCAGTCTCAAAACAACAGGGTAAAGATAGGTCAGAACTATACAGACAGGTCAGGGGTCAGAGGTCAAGGGACACAACTGACTCTTCCTGGTCAGTTCCTAAGATGCTGGATTTGGGCTGGAGAGATGGCTCTTCTCTTAAGGGCACTGGCTTCTCGAAGAAGACCCTGGGTCTAGTTCCCAGCATTTAAATGGTAGATAAACATCATCTCTAAGTCTAGTTCCAGGAGCTCCAATACCCCCTTCTGGCCTCCAAGGGCACCAGGTAGACACACATGTGGCACACATACATGCATGCAGACAAATACACACAGAAAATAAAAATAAACATATCTTCAAAGATAAACAAGAGACTGGATTTGCTGTGAGTTTGGCGGGAGGAATCGAGAGCCTCACCAGGTTCTTGAAGAGCGCAGCCACCTCACGGGTGAATACAGCCAGGTTCAGGAAGCCGGTGGACAGCTCATGGCTGTTCTGGGACAGGTGACTATTCCCCAAAGCCTCCACAGCCTCTCGGTAATGTTCCTCGTTCTCCACATGGACTGCAGATGGAAAAGGCTCTCAGAGTTGGCTGCAGGCTTGGCTGGGCCCCAGGCCCCAGACCCCAGGCAGGCTTACTCACCGAGGCCAGAGGTGTGGATGGCCCGCACAGCCTTCTTGATCCTCTGCAAGATAGCCTGGTCTCCTTCCAGGACCTAGAGGTAAAGTGTACAAGGTTCAGAGGGGCTGTGTAAGGCGGCCTTGACTTCAGGATTTGATATCTCTCTTTCTCTTTCTCTCTCTCTCTCCACTCATCTTGTTATCTTCTGAATTCCTCCCTGGGCTCCCCTTGCCGGCCGAATATAAGCTGACCTTCTTCTGCCTGACCACACAGAAGCCACAAAATAACGAAGCCATGACTGGAAGACTACAGACTTTCTTACCAACCTAGTGCCGGCTGGCCTGCCACAGATACCTAGCGATCCAAAGATGTGTGACACAGGGGGGCCGCCAGGACCAGGTTGGAACTTCAGCTCAACCTAACCAAGGCTTCTTAACCTATGGGTCACATAACTGAATGTGAGGATCACAGATGATTTGGCAATAGTAAAATGTTTCTAAAGATGTGATGACCAGAAATTGATTCAAGATCAAACGCATAATTAATCTGAGGTATTCCTGGCAGCATTCACCCACGCTCTATGGAGCAACTTCATTGCAGCGTGGTTCTGAATACACAACACGAGCACCTTACACTGTGCCACTTTGCCACACAATATCGACAAATACAGCCTGAAACACGTCGGTGCACACTCAAGACGCTTGCATGGTAGGAACTGCGTGGTTTTTTATTGCACGTACAAAATCTTCTGCTCTTTCGGAAACATTATGGTTTGATTATAGAAAACAAAAACTGAATATTCTCCTATTATTCCTTAGCATGCATCAAACTAGTTCTTTCTGGGGCCTGGGGAGATGGCTCAGTAGTTAAGAGCACATAGTGCTCTTTTTTCTTTTTTATAATTTATTTATTATGTATATAGTGTTCTGCCTGCATGTGTGCCTGCAGGCCAGAAGAGGGCACCAGATCTCATCATAGATGGTTCTGAGCCACCATGTGGTTGCTGGGAATTGAACATTGAACTCAGGACCTCTGGAAGAGCAGACAGTGTTTTTAACCTCTGAGCCATCTCTCCAGCCCAACATAGTGCTCTTAACTAGGATCCAAGTTCAAGTCTCAGTACCCATACTGGAAGACTCACAATCAGCTGTAGCTCCAGCTCCAGGGGATTTAATGCTCTTTTCTGGCCTCCACAGGTACCCACACACTATGGCAGATGCATACACATCCACATATACATAAACAAAAATAAAACAAAACCTTGGGGCTGGGCATAGTGGCCCACACCTTTAATCCCAGCACTCAGGAGGCAGAGGCAGGCAGATCCCTGAGTTCAAGGCCAGTCTGGTCTACAGAGTGACTTTCAGGACAACCAGGGCTACACAGAGAAACTGTGTCTTGAAAAATCAATTAAAAAAAAAATAGAAAAGGAAAGTGTTAAGGGGGAATTTCTGAGAGCAGTGGTGAATGAGGAGCTGAGGTTCTAGGCTCCAGCATCTGGCACACAGGTCCCCGTGTGCACTCTGTGCCGAGCCGACTTCATGATCCTGGCCACATATGGGGTAGGAGGACATCACCATGACCATGAAGCGGGAGGAAGATGTCTAGATTATGCAGTCATAAATGGGCAGAATCAGAGCCTAACCCAGGCTGGGCCAAATCCACAGCCAACATTCTTCCCATACCAAGCAGACCCACAAGTGTCAGGCACAGCTTTGATTCATGGACTAAAACCATCTCCACACCTCAATCCCGACCCCACCATCTCCCCAGTCCCTTCATACAGGAGGAAGCAGGCAAGAAAGAGGGACCTGTCTTAAAGCAAAGCTGGTAGCTGTCCTCCATCCCTGGAGCCTGTTCTGCAGAAAAGAGAAGAGAAGGGGTCTGAATGACCCTGGAGAAGATTCCAGGACAAAGAGGTAGAAGTCTGGGAGACACAGACTTCAGCTCAAACAGGACAGGAGTTTCCTCCCAAGGGAGCGAGCTCTCTACCACTTGACATAGTCAGGGATGTCGGTGCTAAAGAGACTGAGGCCCTGGATTCTAGATCAGGACCGACAGGCAAGGGCTGGCCAAATGGCTGAGCAGGTAAAGGCACTTTTGCACGGGCCTGATCACTTGAGTTAGATCTCTGGGTTCTGCAAGGTGACAGGAGAAAACCGACTCCCCAGACTTGTCCTCTGACCTCTACGCTTGTCACAAGTATGCACACACACTCGCAGATACACTGAAACAAACAAATAAATGAAGTTTAAGGATTGGTAGCCAGCCGGGCAGGGTGGTGCATGCCTATAATCCCAGCACTCTGGGAAGCAGAGGCAGGAGGATCTCTGTGAGTTAGAGGCTAGCCTGGTCTACAAAGTGAGTCTAGGACAACCAAGGCTACACAGAGAAACTCTGTATTGGAAAAAAAAAAAAAAAAACAAGCAAAAAAGACTGGTGGCCATCTAGATTTCTTTCAACACTAAAAGGCTAGTGTCTCTCTGCAAAAACCTATCCACGCACTGGGTAAAGATGAATGACTCCCAGCACCAAAGAGAACTTGGAAGCCCACTGGAGTCCCTCAGGCAGCCTGGCCTGTCCATCCCAAGAAAAGCCCTGAATTCCAATCACTGGCATTATCTTTTGTCACCCACTGGACACACACACAAAAACACACACTCTGGTTCTTGGCCTGTGCTTTCTATCTGTGCAAGAGACCACAGATGGCAGCACCAGGCCATGCCCAGATGCCCTGCCTAGAAAGGCCTTCTGCTTTCACCTCTTCTTGGGTCAGGATGCATCAATGGTACCCATTCTTCACCACTGTGGCTCTGCATTGCCAGCTGCGGTTACCAGGGCAACCCAGCAAAGGGCCCGAACTACCAGCAGTAAGGCCCTGGGAGCTGTAGATTAAATTTCACCATTAGACACTCACTCCTTTGGACCATTATAATACCAGGCACAGGCACCGTTTTTGTATCTCCAGTGACCATCATGGCTATCGTTTGTCATTCTGCTGAGACGGCTCTCCAGGTACCCTCCGCCTGTAAACTCCCGCCGTGGCCTACAGCTGAAGCAGCTGGTGGACCACTCGTTTGCTGTGGCATGAGGGTGCCTCTGAGAGAGACGGAGCCACAGAATATTAGGCTGAACCCATCACCTGGAACACTCACAAGCTGAAAATACGAAGGCCCAGAGGTGTTGCTTCCCCAGGTCTCACTGGAAACGCGCAACCAGACTAAGGGAAAGAGCTGAACTAGAACCCAGACAGGAGCTGGGCAGACGGTTCAGTGTGTAAAAGGGTTTGATACAAAGACTGATAAAGCTGAGTTCAGGGCCCGAGAACCTGCATGGCGGAAGGAGAGAACAGATCCCATCAGGTTGTCCTCGGACCTCTGTTCGCACGCTACGGCAGTGCACGTGGGCACATATGCATGTGTGACACATGAATCAGGGAAAAGTCAACTTTAAGGTAAGAAGAAAACAAAGCGAAACACCCATGAGTGGGTGCAGGCTTGTAGACCTCGGCAGGTGACAGAGGCAGGTGGACCTCTGTGAATTTGAGGACATCCTGCTCTACCCAGCAAACTCCAGGCCAGCCATGGCTGCGAGCGACACCCTGTCTGAAAACCACAAAGCAAAGCAAAAACAGATGGGAGTTTACATTTCATTTTAAATTAAATTAATTATTATTGGTTTTCTATCAGCATCATCATCTTTATCATCAGGTTTCCCTCGTCAGGGTTTCCCTCTGTGTAGCCCTGGCTGTCCTGTAAATGTGCTCCATAGACCAGGCTGGCCTTGAACTCAGAGATGCGCCTGCCTCGGCCTCCAGAGCGCTGAGATCAAAGGCGCTTGCTAATCATAAGGAAGTATAACACCCAGTGTAAGTCCCCCAGCATTCTAACTCTAAAGAGGCCCTGGAGTCGGGCAGGGTATTTCCATCTGGAAGATGAGTCATTGAGACTCCTAACTCCCTAGCTCTTTCCCTGTGACCTAGACCCTGGAGGTCCATCCACGGACTGTAACCTGTGCCTCTGGAGTTACCCTCAGAGCTGAAAAGAGTACTTCCATCCTGCCAGCACGGATCTAGAAAGACAAAATAGAGGGTCTTGGAAACTCACTCGATCACCCTCTGAGACTGTGTGGCTTTGATACACCGCAAGCCGCAGGAGATCAGCAAAGCATTCCTGGGGTCCTGGCCCCTTCCTAGCCTTCCCAGATTCCTAACCAGTCAACACCAGCAACTGCCGAGGGGAGCCACGGAGACCTCGCCGCCCAAATAGTTCTGTGAGGTGGTGACTCCTGGCTCCTTTGATCTTTGACGGATGTGCACAAGGAAGATTAAATTGCATGTTCTAGATATGAAACATGGTCATTAAAACAGGTTATTGGAATGCCCAAACCAAATTACACACTTAGCAAATAATACAGAAACTGCAAAAAAGTCCCAGATGAAGAGTGTGTGTGTGTGTGTGTGTGTGTGTGTGTGTGAGAGAGAGAGAGAGAGAGAGGTGGGGAAGGAAGGAAGAATTAGTGAAGGGAGGATTTCTTTTTTTCAAAACAGGGTTCCTCTGTGTAGCTCTGGATGTTCTGAAACTCTCTGTCGACCAAGCTAGTGTTGGACTCAGAAATCCGCTTGCCTCTGCCTCCCGAGTGCTGGGACTAAAGATGTGCGCCATCACAGCACAGAATTGAGAAGAGGGAAGTTTTTAAACTTTTTCTTTCTTTTTTTTTTTTTTTTTTTTTTTTTTTTTTTTTTTTTTTTTTGTAGTTCTGGGGATCAAACCCAGTTTGTGAGCATGCCAAGGAGGTGCTTTACCACAGAACTACACCCTTAGTCCTGCAGAGGAAATCTTAAGGGTCTTTAAAATACACATCTACAAATGACATTATACGAACTTTGAGTCCTGGTATTTTTAAAGGTTTATTTTTATATTATGTGCATGGGTGTTTTGCCTGAATGTATGGCTATGTACCACTTGTGTGTGGTGGCCAAGGAGGACAGAAGAGGATGACAGATCCTCTGGAGTTACAGACTGTTGTGAGCCTCCATGTGGGTGCTGGGAATTGAACCTGCATCCTCTGGAAGGGCAGTCAGTATTCGTAACC